ATAATATTTTATTGAAGATTTTTGCTTCTGTATTCAGCCTGATCTTCACTTGTAATTTTTTCCCTTTTCTTCCCCTTCCTTACCTTCCCTCCCCTCCCTTCCTAACCTTCTCTGGTTTTAGTATCAGAGTAATGCTGGCCTCCTAAAATGAATTTGGAAGTGTTTCTGCCTCTTGTATTTTTCGGAAGAGTTTGAGGATTGATATTAATTCTTCTGTAATACTTTGGTAGAACTTATCAGTTTATCTGGTTTTAGACTTTTGTTTATTGTTAGGTTTTGATGACTAGTTCAGTCTCCTTACTAGTAATGTGTCTGTTCAGACTTTTTCTCTCTTCATTGTTCAATTTGGTAGGTTGTATGTTTCTAGGCACTTGTTTCCGTTTCTTCTTGGTGATATAATTTGTTGGCATGTAGTTACTGACAATAGTCTCTTTGATCATTTCTGATTTTATTTGAGTCCTATCTCTATTTCTTGGTGAATCTGGGTAACAATTTGTTGATTTTATTTTTTTTAAACCAGCTTGTAGTTTCATTTATCTTTTCTTTTTTCCTTTAAGTATCTATTTCCTCTGATATTGTTATTTCCTTTCTTTTACTAACTTTGGGCTTCATTTGTCCTTTACCTTGTTTCTTGAGGTATATAGTTCAGTTGTTTGAGATTTTTTCTCAATATAGGCTTTTTACTGCAACCTGTAAGTTTTGGTATATTTCAGTTTTTCTTTCTTTCTTAAAATCTTTTGATTTCTTTTTTGACCTCTTGATCATTCAGTAGCATGCTGTTTAATCTCCACATATGTGACTTTTCTGGTCTTCTTTTTGTAATTGATTTCTACTCTCTTATCATTATGGTCAGAAAAGATGCTTGATATTTCAAAACTGAAATTTATTAACTTGTTTTGTTGCCTAACATATAATCTATTTTGGACACCCCCAACTCCTCCCACCCCCCATGCACTTGAGAAGAATGTGTATTCTGCTGCTTTTGGATGCAATATTTTGCGTTGTTAAGCCATCTGGTTTAACATGTAATTTAAATCTAATGTTTTCTTACTGAACTTCTTGATAACCTGTCCATTGATGGAAATGGGGACCCTGTTGTACTGCTAAGTTTGTTAGAATTTGCTTTATATATTTAGGTGCTCCTATGTTTGGTCCCTAAATATTTTATAAATGTTATGTCCTCTTGTTGAATGACTTTATCATTATGTAATAATCTCCTTTGTCACTCACTTATTATTGCTTTTGCCTTAAAGTCTATTTTGTCTGATGTAAGCATAGCTACCCCAGCTTTCTTTTGGTTTCCACTTGTGTGGAATACCTTTTTCTCTCCCTTTAGTTTGAGCCTATGTGCACGCTTGGAACTGAAGTGAGTTTTTGTGGGCAGCATATAGTTTGGCCTTTATTATTATCATTGCTATTCTTTTTAATTGAAGAACTCAATTCATTTACATTTAGATTAATTATTGACACTTACGCTCTTACTAATATGAACTCTTAATTGTTATCTGGTTGTTTTGTAGCTCCCTTTTCTTCCTCTCCTTGCTTTCCTTTGTGTGTTGGTAATTAGCTGTGGTGATATGGCCTGATTCCTTTCTCTACCTTTGTGAGTATACTACAGATGTTTGCCTTGTGGTTACCACAAGGCTTCCATACAACGTATTTCAGATATAAGTCTATTTTATGCTGGTAATTTAACTTCAGTTGTCTTAAAACAACTCTATCCTTTACGCCCCCCCCTTTTATGTATTTAACACAATTTACACAATTTTGTCTTGTGTATCTATTAAAAATTATTGTATTTTTACTACTTTTGTCTTAACTTTCATACTAGACTTACAAATGATTTACCCACCAGTGTAAATTAGAGTATTCTGAATCTAACCATACATTGCTGATGTAAAAAACATCCAAACCTGTAAACAATAAAAAAAACCCCTCATCCAAGGACATTTTTTCATTGCTTTTAGAAACAGAGGGAGGGAGAGGTAGAGATATGTGAGAGAGAAACATTGGTTGCCTCCCTGCATGTGCCCTGACTGGGGTTTGAACCTGCAGCCTTTCTGTGTATGAACCATGCTACAACCAACTGGGCCACACTGGCCAAGGCCAAACCTGTAAAGAATTTTTGTGAGACTCTGAGCCAAAGTGATGACATTGACAGGAAGCAATCTCAAATGCTCCAGAGAATGACAATTTTGCATTTTTTCTATGCACTTAAAATTGAGGAGGGAACACAGGAGGATTACATGATGGTGGAAGAAAGTAAGGCTGGTACTGGATTACAGGACAGTTAAAGAGATCATGTGCTCTCTGAGGGTGGTGACATTTATATCAAAGGTGTATTAACCTAGGTGCACATGAACAATGGACAGGGATAGTGTAAGGCAGGGATAAACTTTATATTAAAAAATTTATATGCCCCAGGTATGACTATTCACTATGATCTGCTTAAAAATTTATGGTCAGATCACCCTGTGAGGTTACCTTCTGGAGAACCCTTTTTTCATTCCTGGTATTAACCTTTACCTGTAATATTTACACTTTGTTTTCTTGTTACTAATTAATGCCCTTTAGTTTCAGCTTAAAGAAGTCTCATGTTCCTTGTACATAAAGGTTGTCCTTCTCTTGCTGCATTTAAGATTCTCTCCTTGTCATGGACTTTTGACAATTTAATTATATCTTCTTGTTTCTCTTTAGATTCATCTTTGGCACTCCATGGGCTTCTCTGCTCTAGATATCTGCTTCTTTTTCCAGGCTAGGGAAGTTTATAGCCATTATTTCTTCAAATAAGATTATGCCTCTTTCTGTGTGCAACCTATTTAATGCAACTATGGTCTGCTTGATAATGTCCCATACACTCTCTTCACTTTTTTCCTTTTGGTTATTCTGATTGGATGAATTCCTGTGAGTTCGCTGATCCTTTTTTTCCTGCTTCACCTAGTACATTACTGGGTCCTCTCTCAGATTTTTCAGTTGTTACTGTATTCTTTACCTCTGTGTTTGGTACATTCTTATCATTTCTATTGCTGTGGCAAATTTTACTTTGCTCATGCACTATGAGACCTGATCTTGATGAGCATCTCCATGACCATATTTCCATTAAGGCCTTTTTCTGAGTTTTAGCTTTAAATTTTTATCAATTTTTATTTGGAACATATACCTGTTTCTTTTTTTTTTCCTTTACTGTGTTGGTTTCTATGGATTACATACAACAGCCACTTCTCTGTCTGAAAGGAGTGGTGTAGGAGATAAACTTCATTTTTTTTTTTTCAATCTACCGTAGTTCTTGGCTACCTCTCAAACCTTTGTGATGGTCTAAAGAAGCACTTTTTGTTCTTAGTTGGCTCCCAGTAGGTGAGGGAGTGCCAAAACCTGTCATTGTCCCAAAGGGGAGGAGCTCAATCAGCACTTAGAGACAAGCTGACTGGAAGGCATACCCTCAGGCAGCAGCTTTAAAAGTATGCAAATATTTGCTGCAGTCCTGTGAGACCAGCAAATGTAATACCAGTTGGTTACCAGGTGATCAAACCCATGTGGCAGTCACCGAAGCTAGGATGCTAGATGTCTGCAAAACCTTTTCTCGAAAGTACAGCAGCCTCAAGTGAGGCAGAGGGACAACAGAGTGCGCTATCCTCTGTTCCTGGGAAGTACTGCAGTCAGATTCTAGATGTGTTAAATTAGAAGCCAAATCCTCAAACTGAAGCCTTTAAGACTGCCAATAGGCCTCTCACAAAGAAACACTGGGTACATTTCAGTATGCTGCCTTTGCACTGGACATGGGGGTCGGGTAAGCCAGGGTGAGCCCATGTAAGCCTGTTGACAATTCTTTCTGTTTGCTATAAAGCTTGTCGGTCTCATGGACACAGGTCCTGTTGCCTTTCAAAGCTGAGGGGCTTGCTGTCAGGTCAAAGTCTTAAAAGTCAGGACACCAGAAATAAGATCCAAACCTTTTGCTCCTAGACAAATTGGAAGTTGAATTTTGTCATACTTGTGCCACTGAACCAGAGGTGGGGTTTAATGAAGAATTGTGTCTCTGTCTCTCCTACCCAGTTCATTGTGGGTATTTTACTGCTCACCTGATCTGTAGAGGTCCCACAGCTAGTTTCTGGATTTCCTTCAGAGACAACTGTTCTGTATGGGGCTACAGATTTCACGTGTTCATGAGAGGAGGTGAGTTCAGGGACTTCCTGTGTTGTCATCTTATACTGGAACCTATTCATTCTTTAAAGGGGGGAGGACATTAGCACAGACCTTTCTGAATGATTACTACATAACATTCAGAACAGCAGGCCACTAAATAATACAGTCCTGGATTCATCAGTGATACAAGCCCGTTTGGCATCAGCCTCAGCCATAATTTTGGTTGGTTACCACTTACTAAGTACAGTGAACAAGAGGGTTGGGGACAGGATGAGTGCATAAACACCCTTTGACATAAAAATAAATGCCGTGAGCCCCAACATTTTTTACATATGATCAATAACACATTTATACTTAACCTTGGTGGCTGACCTAAATTTTTGTCATTACTCACTTTGAAAACAAGTTTATTCAGAAGCAGTATTAGGGTATATTTAAGTTTTGGTCTATGAGTATATACTACCAGAAATATTATTTCTTTTTCCTCTTCAGAATCAATTTTTTCCTTTAGGTATTATAGAAAGTTTAATATGCATTTGGTTAATTGAAGCTTTGTATTATTTCTTAACTCTTACGATGGGCTGAATATATGTATAATTTAAGACATTTATCTGACTTTGTTCATACATATAAGGATTAAAACTAGACTAATTACTGTACAAAAATTCTGTTAAAATGGTTTGAAAAAATACTACTTCCTCATTAAAAATTTTCCCATACTAAGTAGCTCTGTAACTGTGTCTGGTGGGAAACAATGTAGTAACTCCTTTTGGATGAATGTACTTCAAAGAAAATTTCTGCTTTGCATACTGTCAGAAAACAAAAAAACAATTTAAAGAAAACTTACAATATCAAAGTTATTATATAATAATTATTTCATTTTATTTTTACTTCATCTTAATCATATACTTTAATTAAAAAAGATAGGAAAGATGTTCAATAAAAACTGGGAAACTGAGATAGGCAAGCATGATTAATGCCAAGAACAGAAATTACAAATGGTTTCACACAATCGAATGCATCTGATTTTCACACCCAGCTGCCCAACAACACGCACTCTGCTCTGCTAGAGACGTGCCGTGTCACCTGAGGCCACCCTCATACACAACGGTGCTGCCGAGGGACGTGGCACTCTTGGAGGTGCTCCACTGCACTAGTGCAGCCATTAAAACCTTTAATTCTGTCAGCTGTTTTTTAATTACCCAACGACGCTGATATGATTGAAGAAAATAGCCTCTTGATATGTATTACTAATACGATACGTAGTACTTAACATGACTCCCAGGCAGCACTGGCCTCAGAGCCGATTCCACAGGTTTGTACTGAGGCCAAATTATAGGATATATAATTTTACTACTATATGTACTGCTTAAGATGTTTTCAATTAAATTTGGAATTACAGGCAGTAGTATACAGTCACTTATTTACTTGTTTATGGATTCAGGGTCAGAACTGAGAGTGACATAAACTTGGGAGATGGGGCCGATGCCTTCACGTCCATCTGTACTCTCCTCAGTGTCCAGCACACTGGTGTTCCTGTAGCTGGTACGGTAACTCAGTCAGTATTTACGAGGACTTCCTTAGGCATTCCATTTTTGGATTCTTATAGAAACAAGCTAATTTAAAGAATTTTCTAGGCTTTGAAAATTTAATAAATAAAAGGCACTTGCCATTACTGATCATAATTCAACAAGGTTAAATTAAGGCTCAAAGTGGCGATTCTTCTGTATGTGCCTACATGTGTAAAATGAAATCTAAGATAAGGAGGTAAGAAATACACTAAAAACAATATGAGAGAGACTGTAAAGTACGGGGTTACACTTGAAAATAAAAAATCTATTACTTTTTCTATAAATTGTAATTGTAAATATTTATAAGGAAACATCGGGGAAGGAGGTTAAAGTGGTACTAAAAAAATAAAAACTTCCAATATAATAAAGCATAATCCTAAAAGGTTTTTGGGAAAACTGAGTATTTTTTTAAATTTACAGACCCCTTTAGAGTTATACTGGGGTTTTTACCATCCCATACACCCTAAATTATATCTAACAATGCTTTGTTAAAAGGCAAGGAAACAATATTTGGACTGAGTCTGAATGACTCAGAAACTAAAAGGTCTCATCTTTAGATTTATGTACTTAATTTTCTTAGAAAAATAACTTGTTATTGTGCCAATATTTATCTGAACATGGCAGCCTCCAACAGTGGATTAACAACTGGAATGACCGCAGTATCATCGTGACTTAAAGTGAAATAAAACTGCAAAGTTCTTTTTCCTATTTGAATAATGAAGAGATTAGTCAAGAGTAAAACACAACTATGAATAAAGGCAAATGTAAACAAAAGACACACATCAAGAGTCCAGAAGGCAAAACCATAAATATTAGAAAGATGCTTCAAAGTTACTTATTATCACAGGGAAAACTTTTATGAAAAACACTTAGAAAATAAATTAAGACAAATCTTTAAAATATAGAACTCTAAATACTTGATATATTTGGGATACTCTACAGTGTTCTGTTAATTGCTATACATATTTTTTCCACAGATATTTCTGAATGCTGTGGTAATCTATAGAATTTGTTTACTTACTGTAAAAATTTTTTTCTCAATTGTGAAAAATTAAAATCAATTATTCAACCTTTAAGTAAGGGAAGAAAATGAAGATCTCTTCACTATATCATGAAAATAGGATATCAATTTATTTTGCCACATCATGTTTTTTAAATGAAATATATGATTAGAGAACCAATTTTAAAGAATTGCTAGAAGAACAGGTGACGGAAAACCAAGTTCTCCCTTTTCAGATGAGTCACAACGCTTTAAGTGATGAAGTTCACACTGTACCACTTCGGCACATACTAGCAGAGGCTCCTGTTCAAGCCAGCCGGCCCAAACACCATCTCCAGTAGTCAGCAACCTGTGGCCTGAGGACTGCATGTGGCTTGTGGCCTTTTAGTGGATGGCCCTCAGCTAAGAATGGTTTGTACATTTTTCAAAGGGTTGTAAAACAAAACAAAACAAAAACCAAACCAAACCAAACCAAACCAAAACAAAACAACCATATGTGACCAAGAACTGCATATGGTCCACAAAGCCTAAAATATTTATGATCGGACCCTTAGCAGAAAAGGCTTGCAGACCCTTCATTCATACCAATGTTGTATAGAATTTCGATGGTACAATTACACGTCCAATGTAACGTTCTTCTATTCCCACCACAAATGTAGTAACAGTCTAAGACGATGTCTTCTGATGTCACCACTTGTCAGAATTTTTCATTTTTTCTTCATCTTCAATATTATTAAAGCTCATCCTTCAATAATAATATAAAAGTAATTGAAAAAGAATCTTGAGTTTATAGTATTAAAACAAGGCAAAATACAATATAAACTAACCAAAGTTTTACCTTCTCAAAAACAATTACTTTCTGTTCTTATATAACGGATCACACACACAAAACGCACCTTGCCTACCTATGACAATGTTCGACACAAGGGTATCAGATGGTTTTTACTCGCCTGTGACAGACACAACCAATTACAGTTTTATGCTTTCAATGTGTTCTTTAAGTAAATTTCAGTTAAAATATTCTGATTTATGAGTAACAGTGTTCTCTATTCCAAATGTTTAACTTGAGATAAAAGCCACAATTTAAAAAATGAGTTGAAAAAATACAGCTAAACAAACTATCACAAAAACCATTTTTTGTTTACTGAAACCAAGAAAATAAACATCCATGGCCTTTCCCCAACTTTCAGATTTGGATACAATATAATTCCGGAAGCCGACCTGAAGGCTTTCTGTATCGGGGCCTGTGACTCTGATGATTTCAGGCCCTTCCGGGGCTGTGCTGTTCTTTTGTCCTTGCACCTCACAAGAAAGAATCCAAGAAACCTCCAGGTGATCATATCAAATTCTATTCAGAAAGCATTCATGGACTCTTTGGTCTGAGTCTGTCCTAGAATGACAGTGATTTAAAGACGACGAAAATAAACAGCAGTGGGAAAAAGGTTGTATTACTTGATGGGTTAAAGCTCAAGGTGAGACCCAGATGAACACAGGCTCCAATAGATCTTGACTATACCAAGAACAGAAGACTATTTGTTATCCAAATGTGTCAAGAGGCTCCAGTATATTTATTACTACTAAGCCCATGCTTGACTTATATTTAAACAAAATTTAAGTAATTTCTGGCCACAGACATGATTTCTTCTTAAATGGCTTTACTTGTCCAAATTCCTAAGCATTTCTGTGTCTAGTAGTTATACTCTTGATTCTCATATTTTCCAAAGAAGAAATTTCCAACTACTTACTGTTTTCTTGAAGCTTCATTTTACCTGTTTATTGATACATACAAAACACAGGAAGAGTAAGTTTAGCTGTTTGCCAAGGTCAGCTCTAGACTCAGTTCTTACCTTATTTCTCTTTCCATCTTTTTGGAGACTTTCCAATTTTTCATGTATTAAGTTAGCAATCTCTTTTGCATCTCTGGAATCTATTTGCTCTCCCCAGATATTTCTCTAAAATTAAAAACACTTTTCTTATAATTTTTTAAGTATCTAATTAAAACATGACATTTCCATCTAAGAAACCTGATTAAATAGTCCTTCAAGTTCCAGGTGTTCAAAACTGAAATTTCTTCGAGGAAATAATGCTACAGAAGTACAGTTAACCCTTATTTACCTGAAATAAATACTATGATACTGTTATGGGAACATGTGAATCAGTTCCTTGGAAAAAAATGCATTGCTAACTCAAAATGCCTCACAACATCTAAGCTGTGTAAGAGAAGATGTGCCCAGAGAACTCACATCACATAGTCTAACACAACCACTGGCACAAACAAAACCGTGACTAACTGTAGCAATGGAAAGTGATGTGTATCCCTGGTTCTCAGCTGCTCACAGCAGGAAGGTGGCTAAAAAGCTGGGATAGGAATAGGTCAATGTACCCAACTCTTGCTTGTTTGGGATCTGCAGTCACCTGTTTCCTTCCTCGTGGAGGGAACCCCACATTTGTATGTCAGGATTTTGTTTCTTTGCAAACCTGCCCACCTTGGTTTGTATTTCTGTTTATTCCAGTTGTTATTTTGCTTTGGCCCTCTCATCTGGCCTGGACTTCTGGATGCCACGCCTGTCTTTCAGTTTGGACTGGGATATTCTAGGTCCTAATCTGTCCTCTGGATGGACTCCTCTAGACACATGATAACATCATCTTCAAAGAGCTCCCTCTATGGCCTGATCATTTATTTCTGTGACCGCTCATGAGACTGATATTTCCCCAACATCATTTTACACGAAAAAGCCCATTTATCTTGCCAATTTCTCAGCTGTTCTGAGAACTGGAAAGTAGAGCTAGTCATGTCAAAGGAAGAAAGATTCAGGCTCAGGTATAATCTCCTTTCCCCCCAAGTTATGTCTACCCTAGACTGTCTTAACATAGAGTGAGCCTCCTGGACTACTCAAAATCCTTTACTGCAAAATCTAGATGCCTCGCAATTCTAGATTTCTGAAATTCGTCATTCATTTCTTTACTTAGCTCTATTTCAAAATGTATTATAATTATCAACATGAGATCTTAATCTGATATTCTTTCTCAAAAAGTATATATTAAAATATTTGAAATTTACTTCATGTTTTACCAGAAAACATGAATACAGTACAAAGTAAATATTCTACTTTCAAAAATGTCATTCTTTTACTTGGGAAAATAGCAAAGGTCATGAGTACTTCCAGCCAGCAATCACACTGGCTGAACAGACAAATGCTTGTGTATTAATAATCAGAGAAGTTATCCTCTGAATTTTAAGATCATTGGTAGATGTCTAGTTTTTTGTTGGGGGAAAAAATGTCATTGGCCCAAAACAGGAATTATGACTGAACCAAGGGACCCTCACATTTACCTGGTGGTCTAAGCCACTAATAAATAGTAATGTTCAGGTGCTAAGGCTAATGCAAAAGTATAATAGTATACTGTCTTTTCTTGTAAAAAATAATTCATTTTAAAGGTAATATATGTTAATTCTATAAAAGTAGGAAGTACAAAAGTGCATAGAAAGTAAGCACCTTGAATTCTATCACCCATAGAAAACTACTATTATTATTTTGGTATGTCATCTGAGTAATTTTCCTGTTCGTGAGCATAAAAATTTTAAGGTAATGGAGATTGGTATCAACCGTGGGACTGAAAAAACTTTTAAAATCATGCAGTATGTATATAAAAGGACCTTATTTCAGTAATGTGCACTAAAATAATGACAAATGGAGAAGAAACTACAGAAAAGCATTACTCAGACTAAAAAAAAAAATCTTTAGTGCTCGGCCTGCTAAAGGAAAGGAACGCAGAGGGAAAACCTGTACATACCTTTGCTGTTTCGTAGGGATAAAACTTGACAGTTGGGTAGGCTCTGATACCAGCTTTCTGGCATATTTGAGCATAAGCCTGACAGTCTACTTTTCCAGCTTTCACTTTTCCTTTAATCATCTGAAAAAAGAAAAATATGGTTTACTATTCTCTTTGGCATAAAGTATTTTGGCAACCACAAAGCAAGGTTGATAACTAAACATTTCCAATTTTTATAAACCTAAGGATTTGTTACTTAAAAAACAGTAACAAAAATAAGCAACAATAAAAATCTTATTTCATTCAATCAAAAAAGATTGCTTCTGAATAAGACTGCTTCCAAATTCTTACTGGCTCTTTACATTCCTATTTGTCCAGCACTACCTCTCCAAAAGCAAACAAACTCTCCTTTGCCTTACCAAGTAAACCAAGAAGCTTTACCCTAAATACCTCACCTTCTTCCTGGTAACCACACCTTGTCCGCCATGGCACAAATATCTCCAGCTCTGTCTGTATTCGTCTTGTAGAAGGCTGACTACTTCAGCTATACCCTCCAGTCTCCTCCCTGTCAGATCTCTCACTCTCTTTCTCTTTTTACTTTTTTATCTATGAATAATCACTTTACTGTTTTTTTAAATTCGAGTGGTTTTATATTTTTTAAAGTATATTGTATTGATTATGCTATTACAGTTGTCCCATTTTTTTCTCCCTTTTATTCTCCACCCTGCACCCCTCCCCCCAACCAGCATTCTCCACCATTCACATCCATGGATCATACATATAAGTTCTTTGGCTTCTCCATTTCCTACACTATTCCTAACCTCCCCCCTGCCTATTTTATACCTACCATGTATGCTTCTTATTCCCTGCACCTTTTCCCCATTTTCCCCCGTCCCCTCCCTGCTGATAACCCTCCATGTATCTACAGCCATACCACCCTGGATATGCCCGATCTCACCTGATCTCAGAAGCTAAGCTGGGTTGGGCCTGGTTAGTACTTGGATGGGAGATCTGTCACGCTCTTTAGCTTATACAAATATGATAAAAAAGGATTCCTTCCTAACCGCAGGAAAAGGAAGTAGGGAACACGCAGACGAAGTGAAGCTTTTGGCTATTAAGGTTAGGTAGGTGATGTCATCCAAAGCAGAGAAGGTGTTAGCTAATTTTTTTTAATAAAGAATAAAATCTACTGCAAAGATTAGAGTTACAAAAGTAAAATAGTTTTTAAAATTCAGAGGGAACATTTAAGAAATAAATATTTAAAATGTTTTAGCTAATTATTAAAACATACATGTAACTACAACTTATTTTAGTAGCCAGACCAGACTCACCCTAGCCAAGAGCTCAAACTCGGGAGCAAAGTTTTGGCAAGGTCCACACCAAGGAGCATAGAAGTCAACCACCCAATGGTTTTTCCCTTGTAAGACTTTTTCATTGAAGGTCTGAGGTGTTAGATCTATGGACGCTTGAGGCAAAAATCTGTGGTGAGGAATTAATTATTTTTCATTATATAAAACCATAGGCAAACTTCCAAAATATAAAACTGGCAAAACTTTCTAAGTTAAAAATGACTTCAAAGAACAACAGTGTAATAAACCACAACCTTATTTTTGTGAATTCTAATTCTTTACTAGGTTTTTTAAAATGCTAGTATTTCAAACAGCTCACAGCAAATTTAAGTACAGACATAAGAGGAAGGTCAATAGCATTACATCCATTTTATACAATAATGTATTTTAATTACTCACCCTAGGCCCCAGATTCTTAGGGAATAGGCATCCCTATTCCAACCATTGTAACTACTGCAAAAAAGAAGAAATATTAAGTTGTACATAGTAGTTTTCATTATTAGCTATGTTTAGAAAACAATCTCATTGTAGCAACTTAGAAGATTAAGTATAGCCCAATGACTTTAGCATCTCTCTTCTCAGGTATAACTAGATACAAGCACTACTTACATGGCCTCCCAAATAATATTTTTCACTAGTCTTAATGTATTTGGGTGCTCCAGACCGACCTGTGTCTAGCTGCCTGCTGGACAGCTATAGACTAGAGGTAAAGACAAAGCTCACAATGTCCGAGGCTTTAGTTTCTGAACCTTTACTCGGGTTCAAACTGTCTGTAAAATTCCTATCCACTTTTAAAAGCCACATCAAAAGCTACCTCACAAATGCAGTATTTCATGATTTTTTCCCTCAAAGTTGTAATCCCTTACTCCTTTGAAATCCATGGTTCATTTTTACTTTTTAAATATTCAATATATTCTGCCTTGCTCTTTTTTCAGTGTTCTACCTGAAAAACCATGTGGTGTTGTAGGAAAATGGGCACTGAGACAGAACTGGGTTTACACCCCAACTCCAAACCTCAGCTGCTGTGACCTAAGCTCTTTGATTTCTCTAATGGGAAGGGTGATAATTTTTGTTTCTCAGGGTATGTGTGAGGACTAGTGGAAATAATGTAAGAAAAGATCTAGTATAGTGCCTGAAACTCATCAGGAACCTAATAAATATTAGTTCCTTCTCTTATTTCTTCCTTACTAGACTGTCAGCTTCATGAACAGCAGAACTACTTAACTGTCTCTCCATCTTCTGAAGTTCTCCTTTGCACACTATCTTAATCAGGGGCTCCCCAAAACATTTGTTGGGTTAGCATTTATTTAGTCAGGATAACTTTTAAATTTTAACTGGATAAATGATTGTAATAAATGTCTTCAAATTTTAGACAATACTTACTGGTATTGATAACCTTTACTTGATTTTGAGGGATAAAATCTTATCTCAGGGTATCTCTGAACATTTTCTTCGGCACAAAAAGAATGATACTGTTGGCAGTCTATGCTGCCCACATTGATCAGCCCAGTTAATGTCTATAAGAGAAGGAAAAAGAGACAAAGAGGTCAAAGTGATAAGAATAAACTTACCTTCATAATGACTTTATATATATTTGCAATAGAAAAACTGTCACTATGAGATGGTTACTGTATTATTTATCAGTGATTTTCATCAAGTAAAGATGAGTAAGGGCTTCACATATAATAGAACATAAACTAGAAATCTAATTTTGTAGTTAGGTTCCTACCTAGTGCAATTATTGCATATTAAATAATTGATTTCATCTACCTATTACATAGGGAAAATAATATATTTCTAAAATTCAAAGTATTAAAACCAAGAACTAAGGAAGGTCTTCGCAATGCTGTTTCAAGGACTGATTTTTTCAAATGGAGACATGGGCTGTGGGGAGCATTCTGATTCATATCTGAATTTTAAAATTTTAATGAGTAGAGCACAAAATTGTATTTACCTCAAATGTTTAGATACCAGTAATCACTTTAACTCATAGGTTTGTTAATTTTTTTTAATATTAGAAATAAATATAAAATAGTACTGCATTTTCCATTCTGGTATTTAAATAATTCTTTCCAATCTTTCATGGAACACTCTTTTTATGTAACACTATCTTTTTATGTAACACTATCTTTTTATTTTTCCAATCTTTTTATGTAACACTATTTCTATGTGAATGAAATTTAAAAAATCCAATGTGTTATAAATCAAGGCTATTTTTTGTTTTTAAGTCCTACAGTTGTGAAAAAAACTATACATTTAAGATCTAAAAATAAAAAAGCAGATACATTTCATTACAAAATAAAGTAGAATTTTGGGTCAACTTTGGCAGAAATCTGGTTAAATATGTATGCAGTGACACACAAAAAGGGTAATTATTCTCTATATTCACCTAACAGACAGAAACTGAGTGGAATCTAAGTGGTATGATCAGAATTGTTATTAAATAAGTCAAAACCTAGAAGTAGGCTTACTCATCTCAGTTTCAAAATAATTCTGTTCAATAAACATCCTTATTAAATGGTAAGATTTAAAATAAGCTAGTTTACTATACCCGGGCCATTCTTTTCCATTCTGGCATTAAAACTTGACATGGATGACACCACGGAGAATAGAAATCAACCATCCAGACTTCGTCATGTTTTCTTTGTTTAACTAGTTCACTGAAAGTACCAGGTGTCAGGGAGATCACCGAAGGATTCCTAAGATCCTAAAGACAACACAGCTTTCATTGTAACAGATGTAAACAAAAGAGTTTTTCATATATTCTTGGCAAACTGTTGGCATCTGTCATTTAGAAAAAATTGTTTTTGAATGGTAAAAAGATACCTAAGGATATTTTAAAGAGTATCTATAGTGAATTATTTTTAAAAGGAAGAAATAATCCCTAATTTATTGTTTGGATTTTGACTATCAGTCTTCTTAAATCAAGGTATATTTTGTTGCTATTTCTATGTATCACTAAAATAAAGAGGCAACTTTATTTAAGATTATGAGTAGATAAGGCAGGATTTCCAAGAGTTGCCCAGATGTCTACATTCGCCATATTCAGTTCTGAAACCAATGAATGGCTGGAAATGACCCATTATTTAATTAATAATGGAAAGCCTTACACATCTATTTTCCTGCCATTCTGATGGGAGATACTACACAATGTCTCTACAGATCTCTACTTGTTCCGATGCTGTTTTAACAAAGCTTCAGTCTGTCATTATTGGGTAATAGTAAGGAAGATGTTAGCTTCATTGGGGAAAATAATCAAAACCAAAAACTATTATTCTGGAGAAGGAGGGAGAGAAGAGTAGAACAGAGAATAGAGTGGTCACTGCATAAATAATAAGCTAAAATTTTTTATTCTTAGGAACCCTGTTAACTACTATAGCCAAGCAAGACTATTAGCGGGAAAACAGAAGATGCTCTAGATACAGGGCACTTCTGTGTGATTATAATCACACAGGTGTGGCATAGCTGCCCAGGCTGGAAAGGGGCCCTCTAGTGGGAGTTGGGTCGGACTGCCCCCACACATTTCCTGGATAATAATGAGCTTACTCCTATCTCATCTATATGGGACCTAAAAGAAATAAGCTGTGGTGCTTCTATCTGAGAAAACATGGAGGGCATATGGCAAAGCTTTATGAAAAATTATTTCACATATTTAATAAATAGCTGTGTCTACTATGTACAAGGCACTGAACCAGCTAATAAACAAAACACACTTATTCTTAGTGTTATAGTAAGTATATAATAAAACATTAGAAAAATTTAAGAAATTCATTTTCTTGTTAGAAAATATTTTGGCACAAAAAGAATAAATCCTGTTATTAAACATGATTAACTATTTATACAAAGTGTACACATACACAGAAGGATCTATAGCCATGAACTTAACTTATATATCTCTGCACTTCACAATACTATAGAATTAACTTACAATATTTCTGTGAGACAACTGTAATTGAACAGCAGTAAAAACCCCACCTCTATGAACTCCAGGATCTGTTCGGCAGAGTGATGTCCTTCATACTCGTGCACGTTGGACTGGTTGAACACCACTGTTGTTGGGTAAGCCTGGATGTTATACTGTTAAGAATGAAAAGACAAATTGAACATGATTTTATACATTTAACCTATTTGTTTCAAATTTATAACCAGCTTATCTTTACTTAAGTAACAGTAAGATTTAAAAAACTCATTGCTAAAATGGCTGATGACTGAAAAATTTTAGCCTGGCCAACTTTTACAAAGAAAATGGTACTGATGAGTACCTAGCCCTTATTTATAGGTACTCCGTTGGATATAAAATCCATAGGCATGAAACACAGAGAGGTGAGCATGGGGAATTAAGGGCTTGGTGCCTTTTTACTCTCCAGAACTAAGAAGCATGAGGCTGCAAAGAGCAGGCTAATTTCTAGCATAAGTCATTTCTGATGCCCTAATAAGTATTCTAATTGTCTAGAAGTAGAAGAAAATCAAGCAAATAGAATAGCATGAATAAAGAAATATATTAATAATTAATGTGACCATAACTATACTTTAGGTTAAAGAATTATGAATCATGTCCTAAGAATGTGGCTATTTTTTCTTTATGTTCAAGATAGCTTTTATAGTACAAAACACTACAGTTTCCTCCTCAGAATTAACAGGAACTAAGGAAGCATTTCTTTAAAGTTTTAATTTTTATTTTTTTAAAAAATGAAAAGAATCTGTAGATTTGCCATCATTGAACTTTATATCTTTAAAGTTGACACATTTATTAGGAAAATGGAATCTTTGACTAGGATTAAAAAATAACTTTTGATTTATTTATTTTATACAGAAGGGACCTGGCCCACAAGCCAGGCATGTGCCTTGACCAGGAATTGATTCGGTGACCTTTTGGTTTGCAGGACAACTCCCAACCCACTTAGCCACATTGGTCAGGGCTCAAAAGTAATTTTAGGAAAAATGAAAACATTTTTCAAACTTTTGTGAAATGAGTGCATATATCAATGATTCATTACATTAATAAAACAACAATTAAACATAACACTTAAGAAGTGCTTATTATGTGTCTAGCACTTTTTTGGCACTTCAGCATGTGGTTTTTAATCTGTTTCTCACAACAATGCTACTAAGCAGCTCAAATTACTAAGTCAACTTTACAGATGAAGTAATTGAGGTTTTGACAGGCTAAGCAACTAGGCCAAGACCCATCAATTAGTGAGTAGTGAATCCTGGTTTGTTCTGGGTGAACCAATAGCATAGTTTTATACCCTTGCATTTTACTTGATTACCTATAGGCTATTTATTTAATAATTGAGATAAAAAGTAGAAAAACTAGAATTCAAGTTTAGATAATTGCTGTATCTTTGCTAACATGCAAGGAATTCAAAACCAAAGGCCTTTTATTTCATTTTAAACTTATTTTAATGAAATTTCAAAAGAAAATAAAAAGAGAATAATCTAACAAATACCCACATAACTCTTCCCTATATTTAAGGAGGACTGGCTGTTTTTGCCACACTGGCAGGCTGTGGAAGTTCTCTTTCTTGATCTCATTTCCTTCCCTTCCTGATACTCGGAGCAACCTGTAATGTTTGAGCACTTAAAAGCTTTCTGTAATTTTATCATATTCTTTTACTGTCCTCAAACCTGCTTTTTTTCAACTTTACATTGTGTTTTTGAGATTTACCCATGCTGGTAAAGAGAGATCAGGTTTTAAATACTCCACTGTGTGACTGGATAATTAATTTATCCATTTACCTGCTATTGTGAGATTTCAAAATTTTGTGTTGACTTGATTAGATGGGGAGGGTGTAGAGCTCTTTTGGTAGTTTGTCCTTTCTTGATGACTACTTAAGTTGAACATTTTTCACATTTTTTACATTTTTTGGATTTCCTCTTCTGCAAAATGTCTGTAAACTTTTCTTCTATTTTTTAAAAAATTTATTTATAATCTTTAAATATTCTGGACACTAAGCCTTTGTTAGTTATATGTACTGCAAAAACATCTTCAGCCTGTTCTGTTAGGCTTATAGTGTCCTTTTGGCAATAGTTTTAACATTAATGTAGTCCAATTAATTTATATTCATTGATTTTTATATTTAGTTTGTCTTCATGTGTGGGTAGGGTGAAAAATTATTCCTCCTACAGATGCCATAGGCATTTCATCCTACATTTCCTTCCATTTATCTTTTTTAAAAAGTTTAGTTTTTATGAATCTTAATTTAAAATACACACAAAAGCAGAGAATAATGAAGTCTCAGGTACTCTCGTGGCTACAAAAATAATTCACTCATGGCTACTCTTAATTCAGCTGTATCTTCTCCAACTCTAGTCCTACCCCAAGATTATTTTAGAGAAAATTCCAGATAATTTATCATTTCATCCATAAATATTTCAGTATATTCAAAATATATGGACTTCCCCCAAATACACGTAACTAAACTATCATTTTCTTTTTGCCCCCCCCCCAGCATATTATTTTATTGTTGTTCAAGTACAGTCGTCTGCATTTGCCCCCTTCTCTCCCCACCCACCCCACATCCCTCCCCTGCTTCCACTCCCCCTTGGTTTTGTCCATGAGTCCTTTTAGAGTTGTTCCTGAAAACCCTTCCCCTCTTTTCCCCCATTATCCTCCCCCACTTCTGCTCTGGTTACTGTCAGACTGTTCTTAATTTCAATGTCTCTGGTTATATTTTGCTCACTTGTTTTGTTGATTGGGTTCTACTTAAAGGTGAGATCATATGGTATTTGTCTTTCACCTCCTGGCTTACTTCACTTATCATAATGCTCTCCAGTTCCACCCAAGTTGTCACGAAGGGTAGGAGGCCCTTCTTTTCTCTCTGCTGTGTAATATTCCATTGTGTAAATGTGCTGTAGTTTTTTGATCTATAAATTTACTGAAGGTCACTTAGGTTGCTTCCAGCACTTGGCTATTGTAAATTGTGCTGCTATGAACATTGGGGTGCATAGGTTCTTATGAATTTGTGTTACAGGGTTCTTAGGATATAATCACAGCAGTGGACTTGCCAGATCAAAAGGCAGTTCCATTTTTAGTTTAATGAGGAAATTCCATACTGCTTTCCACAGTGGCTACACCAGTCTGCATTCCCACCAATGGTGCATTAGGGTTCCCTTTTCTCCACGTCCTGTTCAACACGTATTATTTGTTGATTTGTTTATGGTGGCCATTCTCATCAGTATAAAGTGGTATCTCTTTGTGGTTTTAATTTGCATCTTTCTCATGGCTAGTGATGCTGAACATCTGATTCATATGTCTCTGGGCCCTCTGTATATCCTCCCTGGAGAAGTGTCTGTTCAGGTCCTTTGGCTATTTTTTAATTGGGTTATTTGTTTTCCTGGAGTGGAGTAGTATGAGTTCTTTATATATTTTGGAGATTAAACCCTTGTCCGAGGTTATCATTAGCAAATATGTTTTCCCATAGAGTTGGTTCTCTTTTCATTTTACTGATGTTTTCTTTAGCCATGCAGAAGCTTTTTATTTTGATGAGGTCCCATTTGTTTATTCTTTCCTTTTTGTCCCTTGCTCTAAGGGACATACCAGTGAAGATGTTGCTGTGTGGAATGTCTTGAGATTTTCCTGCCTATGTTTTCCTCTAGGATTTTTATTGTGTCACAACTTATATTTAAGTCTTTTATTCACCTTGAATTTATTTTTGTGTATGGTGTAAGTTGGTGATCAAGTTTCATTTTATTGCATATAGCTGTCCAGTTCTCCAACAGCATATGTTGAAGAGGCTATTTTTCCTCCATTTTATGCTGCTGCCCCCTTTATCAAATATTAATTGACTGTAGAGATTTGGGTTTATTTCTGGGCTCTCTATTCTGTCCCATTGGTCTATGTGTCTGTTCTTATGCTAGTACCAGGCTGTTTTGATTACAGTAACCTTGTAATACAATTTGATATCAGGTATTGTGATAACTCCTACTTTGTTCTTTCTCAAAATGCTGCAGCTATTCGAAGTCAGTTATGGTTCTATATAAATTTTTTGTGTTTGTTCTATATCTGTGAAATGATACTTTAATAGGTATTGCGTTGAATGTATAAATTGCTTCAGGTAGTATGGACATTTTGATGATGTTAATTCTTCCAATCCATGAACATGGTATATGCTCCCATTTGTTTGTGTCTTTCCTTAATTTCCTTCTTCAGTGTTGTGTAGTTTTCTGCATACAGGTCTTTTACCTCCTTGGTTAGGTTTATTTCAGGGTACTTTATTTTTCTTGTTGTTATATCAAATGGGATTTTTTTCCTGGTTTTTAAAAGTTAACAATAATTCCTGCAAATCATCAGATATCTTGTCTGTCAGTGTTCAAATTCCCCCAATTCACTCTTTAGTGTTGCAGTTGGTTTGTTTGAATTGCATCCACATGCGGCCTAAACTTGCATTTGAATGGTATGTCTTTTAATTTTTTATTCTTCTTCCACTTACAAAAAATCTGTCCAATAAACTGGATGCTTGTCCTATGAAATTCTCTGTGCCAGAATTTGCAAATCACACACCCATGCTGTCACTTAACCTGTACCTCTCTGTCACTGGATTGTCTATACCCTGATAGATATGATGATGATTTCATTTAGATTTGATTTTTCTTCCCAAGACTATTTTACAGGGATCACTTTATACTTTCATCACAAGGTATAAAATTTCTAGTACTTCTTAGAACAAAAGAATAAATATCAATTGACCTCATATCTCATTCATTGTTTAATGTCTTTCATTAGCTACTATTACAAAAAAAACCAAAAGAATAAAGCTATAGACCACCAAGATGTAATATTAAGTTAAAAAAATACAAAGATCTTAAAAATAACTTAAAAATCATATATTTTATCAAGTCAACTAAATATTTTCCTGAGTTTAATAAATAAGATTATACCTACATTTAACTACATATATTATTCCATGTTTTAATTCATCATAATTTTGTTAAATTTGTTTAAACAACATGTTACTACTCTAAATGTAGATGTTTGGAAGTTGTTACGTTAATTTTGGATTAGAACACATTTTTAATACTTTGCCTTACCATGTTACAGAGCCCCTCATGGACTGTACAATCTAGTGTACCAAACTTAAGCTGACCATAAAGATGCTTTGATGCTTTTCGTAACTCTGGCAATAAAGCTCGACATGGTGGACACCACTGTAAAAGAAAAAGTATTTATAAGCACTAAGCCAAATGAAACAAAAAAACACATCGTTTTTGCAATTAGCAATAAGCTAAGACAAACTACACTTAGTTGCAAATTTTATGCTTTTATACTAGGTCTGTCCAGAAAAATTCCAGCTATTGTCAATATAATAAGAATGGTTTGCACAACACTGATGTAACCTGGCAGCCAAGGACAGTGGATTGGAATGTGCATGCATGAACAATGACTACTTCACTGAAATAGTCAGTGGGTGTGGTAGATACACTGCTGGGTGAGCATGTGTACTGTGTGGCCACTGCATTCAAAATGACAGAGCAAGTAGAGCAATGAATCTGCATCAATTTTTGTGTTAAGCTTGAACATTCCTCTGTGTAAACTATTTGGATGATTCAGAAGGCTGCACCTATGGGTAACAGGTAATTGGCAGCTTCATCACAACAGCAAGCCCACTCATGCATCATGTCTTCTGCAGAGTTTTTTGGCGAAACATCAAATCACCCAGGTGATTCAGCCCCTCTACAGCCCAGATTTGGCACCCCTGTGACTTCTGGCTGTTCCCAAAACTAAATCACCTTTTGAAAGGGAAGAGATTTCAGGCGTTGGTGAGATTCAGGAAAATACAATAGAGCAGCTGATGGAGATTGGGAAAACTGTGTGAGGTCCCAAGGTGCCTACTTCGAAGGGGACTGAGGCATCACTGTCCTATGTACAGTGTTTCTTGTATCTTGCATCTTCTTTAATAAGTGTCTGTTTTTCATATTACATGGCTGGATACCTTCTGTACAGACGTCGTATACTTAATCCTTAGAGAAGTAAGTACATCAGTGCTCTTTTGGATGCAATGCATGGTAGTGGCCAAAACTGGACAACACAAATCTAGTACCCATGATGGTTCAAAGTTATTTTGCTCTCTAACAAGAAAATCTGACAATATTGAATTTTGACAGATAAAAATAACTTACAGGGGCAAAAAAATCAACAAGCCATGGTTCTTTGTGACTGGCAGGAAAATTCTGAGGTCCAAGTGTGGTAACATGAGAATGAACACTTTCTTTGGCAAAGGCAAGTATATCATAAAGGATCTTCTTTCCTTTGAAATGGAGTAAGAGAAAAGTTATAAATCCACATTCTGTCTTTTATTCATAAAAACATTTCAAAGTTTTTATGCTTAAAATACTAAAGGAAGGAAGATAAACTTATGAACAAATTGATTTTGGTGAAGTTTAAATGTTTTGTAAGGTATACATACAGGAGCACCCTTTCTTTTACCCTTCTGTTTCTCAGAGGATTCAGTTAAAATGTCAGTATCTTTTTGAAAATGTTGATTCATCCTCAGTGGCAGAATTACAACTTCCTTGCAGTATTGATATTTTATGCTTGCCTGATCTGTTCCTATGGTCCAACTCCTAATTCTGTTTCTTTAACCTAGACTTCTATTAAGAATTCACATTCTGTATTATCAACTAGCTGGTGGAAAAATTAACCTGGAATCATATAAACATTTCAAACATAATATTATGTCCAAACTGAAGTTATTTTCCCCCTAAATTGCTTCTTACTTTCCCCACCTTGGCAATAGCATAGTCATCTACTAGGTGCCTAAGTAAGATTTCCCAGAGTGATTCTTGCCTTCTTCCTGTGCTCCTGTATCACTACTCCATCCATTCAGTCTTTTGCCATCTCCAACCTCAGTTTAGGCTACTGCTGAAATTCAGTTTGGCTTACTGCAATAATGTAGTTGGTCTTTCTGTTGTTCCTTAACTATCATATTTTTTTGGACTGTAAGGAATAATGGTTGTTAATGCTGCTGTTGAGTTCTGTTTACATTTATATTGGTGAAATATTATGTTATTTATGTTATTAAATATTTTACCACATGTTTTGCTTCAAAATTTTTTCCCCTATTTTCCTCCTCTAAAACCTAGGTGCATCTTATGGTCTGAAACATACAGGGTAATCCATTTTCTGCATTGCTAGTGCAAAAAACATTGATCACGCTGCCACTGCCTAAAGATCATACACAGGGTCTGGCACAAATAATATCCCCTTTTTTATTAGAAAATCTTTTATTACAAAATCATAAGCATGTAATTCTGTAACATTACCAATATCACACTCAAGCACGCTGTATGACATTTTAGGTGAAATGTTCAAATTAAAACTATAAATTGCCCTGGCTGGCGTAGCTCAGTGGATTGAGTGTGGGCTGAGAACCAAAGCATCGCAGGTTTAATTCCCAGTCAGGGCACATGCCTGGATTGCAGGCCATGGCCCCCAGCAACTGCACATTGATGTTTCTTTCTCTCTCTCTCTCCCTCCCTTCCTTCTTTAAAAATTAATAAATAAAATCTTTAAAAAAACTATAAATTATTATGCCTATATTATTACCCTACCAACCACAATCAAGCAGGCATTACTTCTGCTGGACACTGTACTCCTTGGCTTGACAAATAATGGCTTTCTCAACCAGCACACAGTTCCTTTGACTTACTCACTCTGGTCAATATTAAGTCAAGTACCTATTATGTCTCAGACCCTATTTTAAATGCCATAGGGCATGCAAAAATAAAAAAAAAGATAGTTTTCCTTGAGCTTACAGCCCAGTAGAAAAGACAATTTCACAAATATTTAAATACGGTGATAATGACACCATATTCTACTACCCCCCCCACTCTTCAGCTGCTGCTTCTTGAATTGTTTAATGAATTCCTCTCTTAGCTTGTCCCTTAAAAGTGATACTTAGAGCCCTGATCTTGTCCCTCTGTTCATTCAGACAAATTCATCCTCCTCCAAAGCTTTAATTCCTTGATATCATGATTACTTATATTTACATTTTTGGCCCAAATTCCTCTCCTTAGGCTCAGGCCTATATTCAGTTGTGAACTGGGGGTGCCTACTGCACATCAACTCCTCCTCCAGTGTTCTTCTCTGCAGGAAGTGATGCAGTCAGTCACTCAACTGTCAATTCACCAAGTCAGAAACTTGGGTCTTCTCCTCCTCTTCTCCCACGTCTACACAATCATCAAGTTATACCGATTTTGTATTCCTGTTATTTTAAAAACTCTGCCCACTTTTTCCCATCCACATTACACTATTTAATAAGCAGCCATTTTTCTTACATAAATGATTGCACCAGGCTTCTATCTGCTCTCCCTTCTTCCAGTCTTGCTTCTAATCACTCTAGGCTTCCAGTCACCTTTCTAAAATGCAAAACTATTAAAATCCTATCTCTGTTAAATCCATGAATGCTTCTGATGCTTCATCCTCATCACAGAGTCCAAATTCCTTTACCTCACACATGTAACACATAATTTGGACCCCTGGTGCCCTCTCCACCCTCAAGCCTCATTCTTTTCCAACATTCAACATTCCAGCTATCCTGTCTTGCTTTCTAAGAATAACTCTCTCTTAAGAGTCCATGAATACAATTGCTGGTTTCTTTGCTTAGAATGTGTTTGCCACCTCTTCATTTAAGTAAACATTACTTATACTTTAGATCTCAAAGAAGAGATTGCTTTCTTTAGCCTCAGAAAATTACTCCTCCTAAATGTTCTTCCTAGGTGTAACACATGTGTATCTCTTGGCGGTTGGTCTCCAAAACAGCCCCTAGTGATCTCGGCCTCATATACTCTTACCATTGGTGTACCAGGGTTGGTATATGTGACCAACAGAATATGGTGGATGTGGGATCCAACTATAACAGATATTGCTGCTTCTCTGTGTGTGTGCCTTTCTCTGATCATTCATTCTGGAGAAGCCAGCTGCCATACTGTGAGCAGCCCCAAAGACAGACTCGAGTAATAAGAAACTGAGGCCTCCTGACTATCCCATGAGCCAGCCTAGAACGAATCCTCCAGCCGCATTCTACCCTCAGATGACTAGAGCCCTCACCTATCTTGACCACAACCTCATGAAAAGAACTACTCAGCTAAGCTCTTCTCAGATTCCTGAACACCAAGACACTGTGTGAGTTGATAAATGTCGTTTAAATCACTAATTTTTGTGGTAATTTACTACTCAGAAATAGGTAATACTCCCCACTTCAGGCATTTTAATATATGACCATTGACTTGTCTGCTTTCCTTACTAGTCCATAATGTTGTTTAAGGTAGAGATTAAGTAAATTTCACAATTTTCCCCTCTCCCTTGTATAAGTAGTACATGCACATGACCAATACCTATTTAAATCCAAAGAAATGATTTAAATTATGCTATAAAATTAGTGACAGCACATAAAAGAAAGTATAATACTTGGGGGATTCCTAGTGTATTTCCTGGGGGGGGATACTAGGCCAAGTTTTGAAGGGTGATTTAGAGTTTGCTAAATAAAGAGCTGGACAACACTAGGTTTATAGCTGTTCATATGGAGAATTCAATGAATAAATACAAGAATAAAATCTGTTTCACATACTCACAAGTATAAACCTACTTTCACCAATGCCTATATTTTGAGGGTCAGGAAGGAAGGATTACAATGCAGGAGAAAGAAAACTTCTGTACGAAGGCACTGAAGAGTGAAGGAACATTGTGTTTTCAAGGATCCCCAAGTAGCTGGAGCTATGATTATTTGGAAGGGCAGAGATGAGTGATAAGGCCAAAAATGCCAGCAGAGGCAGAATGTGAATGCATCCTGTTAATTTAACAACTAAATACTGAGTTCCTACTACACACCAGGCACCATTCTAGGTGCTGGAAATAGAGCAATGAGCAAAACAGACAAAGCCATTGCTTCTATGAGAAGAAATAAGAAATTTATTTGAAAAGAAATCTGGAGTCAAGGCAGAAAAGTGACATGAGAATGTTCTAGATGTTCAAGGGCAATAGATGCAAATAAAATCAGTAACAAATTGTAAAGGAGAAAGGCTATGAAACAGAAAACTGTATCAGAGGATGATATTGTACATGAAGGAGATTATGGACCTGAAATAAGGCCACAACTGCAGAGAAGAGGGGGAACCTGAGAAAGATTTTAGAGGTAAAAAAGAACAGAACTCCATTATTAAAACTTGGTCATTTCTAGAACTTTAAGGAGGTAATATTTAATTAGCTGTAAGCCTAGGCTTTGGAGCAGACATATTTGGATACAAAAATCTACCTTGACTGGTTACTGGTTGTTGTCATGGGCTAAAAGTAATTTGACCTTTCTTTCTAAGTCTCTAAGTTTGTCCCCTTGCTGGATTGTTGTGAAGATAAAAAAATGAAAGTGCACAAGTATGCAAAGCCTTTAGAAAAACGTCTATCTTAGGGAAAGTGCAGAATAAATAGTAGTTATTACTAGGATTACTTTGCCAAGCAAGCTCTGTTCATATAGTTCCTGTGGCTTAAAGGGACAAAGTTCTTGTTCTTCTGTACTTACTTTGGGAAACTGAGCTTTCAAATGTTACCTCAATTCACATAGTACCTCCTGACCTATACTATGCAGAAGTCTCTGTATTTGATTTAATTAACTTATACATAATACCCATTACAATGGTTTTCATATTTGTTTATAGATCTCCTTCCTCTCACCTGCACTAGATATTTTAAGCATCTTGAGAGCAAAGTCCATGTCTTACAACTTTGCATTCCTAATACCTAAAACAGAGTTTGTCACATAACAGGCAAATATCTGTTACTCACTTAACTGTGTGTTAGTTAATAGTTTGTCTCTTTTGCTACATTTCACCTTTTCCAGGACAGGGACTATGATGTATACCAAACCCTAGGAACTGGAACTTTGCTTGAATGCAGAGCTAAAGTCCCAAACAAGCTAAAATGCAGAAATGTAGTTATAAATTCAAGAAAGATGACAAAACAGTTAATGGAGATGTTTGGTAGTCTGGTTGAGGAAAAATCTGAATGAATATTTATAAATTGCCCATAATGGCTGAGATGCTACATTTGGCAAACTGGAATGAAAACTGTAGGTGCTACTTACTTTTGTCAACAAGCAAGAAATGCACTTAAATTCCTTCCTAGTCTAACATGTCATCACAGTTCTTGCTGAAACACTGGCCAAGAATAAAGAATATAAAATAACTAATTCAAAATGTCTTTCCCTGCAAGAAACAAATTTACTGATAAATGAGAGCAAAATTATTTATAAGTATGTCCATACAAGGTAAAAAGTAAAATCACAGTCATACCTTGTTTTATTGCACTTTGCTTTACTGCGCATCACAGATGTTGCATTTTTTTACAAATGGAAGGCAAGACCCTCCACCAGCAAAACGATTACAACTTGCTTTATTCTGTTGGTCTGGAACCAAATCCACAATATCTCTGAGGTTTGCCTATACTATTTGAAAATGAAGATAATTTTTTTTTCATTTTTTCCCTCTTACCATGATGAATCTCATATTCTTTGGTTCCTTGTCCTTTAAACACTGCTAGACATGGCTGGAAAACATAGAGATCACTGCAGATGGCCGGTGCAGAGGAACAGTCAAACTTGCCAATCTGGAGTAGAAAGAGAAGGTTCAATTTGACGAAAATAAAATCTTCTCCATACAATTAAATATTTATAAAGGTAATCACAAAATGACATTACTCTAACACAGTTTCTAAACAGAAGTTAATGGGCTGTAAATATAAGAGACAGAAATAATTTACATTTAACACTGAAACTCAATTTAGTTTAAAAAAAAATTTCCTAGAATTCAAATACTTGAGATAATATAAGTTAAGAAAGCCACCCTTCTAAAAATGTAGAGAATATTTATATAATCTTGGGGTGGGGAGGAAAAAAAACTTTTCATGTGAGTCTCAAGCAGCTAAAAAGAGAAAAAGGTTGACATTTTCATATACTGTGTAAGAAAACTAGTTATTTAAAGTATAATTTTATGTATTAATAAAACACACTAGCAGAAAGCTGGGCAGAATAATTTTTCTTACTTGAATATGTTCATTTTTAAGTAGAGTCTTTAGTTTCTTCAACTCAGGATCAGTTGAATTTCCATTTTCTCCAAAATAAAAAAATAAGAGCCATCGATGATGAGCCAAACGATCCTTAAAAGTGATTTAGTAAATTAAAAAGTAATGTTAAAGACAGAAAATTTTGAGTTCTAGTATTTACTTATTATTCTCTTAAATTAATTTTAACAATCCTACCCATTACACTTCAAAATAATGTCCAATATTCGGACACATCCATATTCTTATTTTATAGTTTATCTGGAATAATGCTATGTAAATCAATCACATGAAATTAGAGAAGGGTAAGAGTCACTACATTATAAAATCTTAATGTAGACAACTGTGCCAAAAGGTGGTTTATTTTATAATAATGTAAAAAATATTTGCTATATGGTTTTAAATGCATATAGCTAAAATGTTGGGAGGTGGGGCAAGTCAGCTTTTCCAGGTTTACCAAAAACTCTGGTGGGATGATGGACTTAGAAAGCTCTGGGATAAATAAGTAGGAAAAAAAATTGACTCTACTATAAACTAAGTATTTCTAAAGTTGCTTCTTAATTTCCAGTGAATAATATAAATAGTTTTGCAAGAAAGAACATCAAGTTCCCAATCAAATCCAAAGTGGCTTTGTGATCAAAATCTTGCCTTTTCTGACACTACTGAAACCTTTTGGGACTGGTTAGGCTTTATGAAATTACTGATCCTTGCTGTAACACCAGCAGCCCCAGCAATTATGAGTTTAACTTAGAGTTGGCTCAAATGAAATCCTTTGAAAGTGCTACTTTCTCTCTGGTGATGAATAAAGTAAATGCTGATTCTAAACTATTAAGACTTTAAATGTTACCAACATTTCTATTAATTATTATAAAAATATTACCTCTAGTGTGTCTGCCGAAAGTAGTTCAAAATCTGGAAGATTATGCATTATTTCCAAATATATTTCTTTAGCATCCAATGAATTAAGAAACTGGAATAAAAGAATCAGATCATAATCTTTTTAATCAACATCCATTTATTTTAGTCTTTGTTTTTTTGTTTCCACAAAAGAATTAAAAAAAATAGTTATAGAAGTTAAACAATTTTCAATCTATTTATTCTAAATGTTGTCTTCCCCTCTCCAAGAAAACTATTACCATATTCTGACAATTGATTAAAAATTGCATAACTTAGCTATTTCTTTTTTTTTAATTTTATTTAAATTGTTGTTGCAGTACAATTTTCTCTTTTACTCCCATCCCAACCCACCCACCCAACCCTCCCCTCCTCCCTCCCATTTCCACCCGTCCCTGTTTCTTTAAAAAAGTTATGTAAAACAAATTCTATTATTAGGTGTTTTATTACCTGGAATTTTCTATTAACTGACCTGTGTATTCTAAAATAATCCTCACAATAACCTGGAGAACTTCTGGATCATGAAGAAAAAGCTGTATTACATACATTACGTTCAATGCAATTTTAATGCAAACCATATTCCACAGAATGAAACTATAATGTTCCATAGAATGCCACCGCATTACAAATTCTTTAAGAATTGTTAAAACACTAGAACATTTGATGATCCAAGACACTCACACCCAACCAACAATTAATAGGAATTAAGATAAGAACTTATAACTGGAAAATCAGAATACACTTTATTAAAGGTTTTCAAAAATAATATCCAAAAACCATGAGTTTTGCAGAGTAAACTATACTGATAAAACTCTTATTTTAAATATTAGATCGAGGTCTCTCCTTTAAGATACGAATAACGAAACAAGGCACACCTCCCTGCCAACACATCTCCTTTATTTCCGTCTGCACTTTACCCTCAGCGTATTTTCATACAGAACGATCTCTGTTGGTCTAATTCTCAATGAAGTAGCTGTTACTGCATAGAGCGCAGCACTGGTTGTATCAAGAAATATATGGTTGAAAAGACAGTTTAATGTATATCATTCCTTACAAAAAATCCATGTTTGAAAATTCAAACACAGTATTACCTGAAAAATCTCAAACTCCATTAAAAACTTGTAGAAACTACCACTGTATTCACAGTTTAATTGTGCTTGATAAAAGCATAACCATATGGATAGAAACAATGGGAATAAGAACAGAAAACTCAGCTTTTTTCCTGAAAACTTTTTAAATCTATAGCATAAATATTCTGAAAACTCTTTATGAAATATTTTGTTACTGAAGTCCTTAAAAGGCCAGTGCAACGGAATTCTTTCATGCCCAGTACTAGAGCTCATTCACTTTAGTCACATTCATTATGAAGATTTCACTAAAAACACTGCTATGGAGGCTTGTAAATGTTTGTGACGAATCCCCTAGAACCTCCTCATAAACCTGTTTGTTTGTCTTAGTGTAAACCCTGGCAGTCGTGTCTATAAAAGGATACTGTCCAGTCTCTGAATTTCACCTTCCAGACATGTTTAGCTGGCACAATGTCTCACATTTTTTTTTTTAACTTGAATGCTTTTAGAAGGGACAAGGACTATCTAATTCATCACTCCTGATTATTACATTTCCAGTATCATTCATTTATATCTTCTAAGGTCATATCTGAGCTTGCAGTTTATATCAGAAAACTCAACGATCTCACTAAAATCTGAGGTTGTAGTTTACAGAAGGTAAGACCCTGTTTTAACTGTTGGTAAAGCAAAGGTATAAGCAAACCTCACGAACTGATGGCACAGGGTTAGCAAACACAAAGTTCTGTAGGGCAGTCTGGCAGTAAGAATTGAATTTAAAATGGCAGAGTCTATCTCATTCTATACATAACTGAACAAGTGCAAAAAGATGAACAAGGTTGTTCATTACAATACTGCTTATAATAATAAAAAAGTAGAAATAACTTAAGTATCTATTAAGGGAGGACTGAGTAAATATGATACTTTTAGTCTATGAATTACAATTCAGGGATTGTTGGTAACTAAATACATGTGTGCATGTACTGTATTTTGCTTTGTATAAAGCACACTTTTTTACCCAAACTTTGGAGGGAAAAATAAGGATGTGCATCATACATGGCTATAATGACTACATACCATGGGTATAACAACGGGCACAAAACATGGGTGTGAGTTACATGGGAGCACATTATACACATGAAATACAGTGTGTGTGTGTATATATGTATATATTGCATGTAAGTACTATATATATTAGTACATGTATATATATTTTATGAACTGACATGGGGAAAACTGTGGGTAGAGCAGATTTATTAGGGACTATCAGGAGCATAGTTATAGCTAAGTTTGAGACATCAATTAATATCCCAGGAGAGATGTTAAAACCTGGAGTGCAGAGCAGAGACCTAGGCCACAGATAAAACTGGAGCGTCATCAGCACCAAGTCATAACCGTATGCATACCTAAGCAGAGATCTGGAAGGGTATTTACTAAAATTTGATGGTGCTAGTATATTGGTGATGCGGTTTTAGTTAATTTTGCATCTTTCTTTAAACATTTCTCTACTGTTAAGAATTTCTGTAATGAATATGTATCTTTATCAACATCAAAATATTAAAACACAGAAAACTAAAAGAAGTTTGTTCTTTATCAGAGTCCTTTATTTTCTTTTGGGGGTTTCCTGGGACCTGTTTGTATCCCATTATTTATCCTAACTCCTTGACAACTAGTTTGATCCTCAGTATAAAATCAGGGAGATGAACCATACCAGTAGATCTCTAAACTGAGTTTATACCAGAATCTAATGGGTGCTTAAAGAAAAAGATACCGGGTTCCAGGCAAACCTACCAATGATGTGTATTTTATACAAATAAAACAAAACCAGTGGAAATTCATTTAACCTGAGAATGTATTCTATACCTCTGGGGTTTAAAAGTATAATGGTTTATGCCAGTTAAAAATAATTCTTACAGGAGAATTTACAAACTGAAGTACAAACAAAATCCCTGAAAATATTTGTTCTAAGTTATTAAATGTTCCACATTCAGATGATATAAAATGATTTATTTTCTTGCTCATTGTTTACAAAACTGTATTTAAATGTGTGCATTTAAAGAAATGAAAATGATTCATACCAAAACACTGCTTTTCTCTTTGCTATTTAAAGTGGCTCCAGGAGGAAAATAGGCAGTAGTGCTTGTTGTAATATCCAGACTTGTACAAAGGTTGGCCTGGGTGGCACAGTCCATCCAGCCTACATTGACAAGACCATCCTAAGATGGAAAAAACAAAAAAAATAGGTTGTGTTGCAAGGGAAGAAAAAGTCAAAGGGATTTAGCTTTATTTAGCAAAAAAAATCAACTTTACTATGGTAAATTAAACTGTGTTTTATACAACACTAAGAAAAGATGCAGATTTGAATAACAATATTATTAACAGGGTACTTTAAAATTAATGTTAACTCAGGAACAATTACAATTTGATCTAATAGATATAAAATTACATTAAACATACATGGAGAACATTATTTTTGAGTACATGTAGAATTTCCATAATGGCAAAATCCCAACCCACAAAAGGAGTTTCAACAATAAAGACTATTCCCCAACCATAATATGATGAGAGTTGAATAAATAAATAACATGACAAAAAAAATAAAGTTTGGAAATGACAAAAACATGAATATATAACTCTGGTTAAAGAGGAATTCATAATTAAATTACAGAATACTTAGCAGCAAATGACAATGAAAGAACCTCATGTTGAAATATATAGAACATAGGATACCTAAGGCCCCGCCCCCTTACAATTTAGCAGGTGCCCAGAATAAAGAAAAAGGGCCCGAATGAAAGAACAGAGCAAAACTTCAGAAAGAGAGCTAGGCAACGAGGAGATAGCAACCTACCTGATGGAGAATTTAAAGCTCTGGTAATCAGAATGCTCACAGAACTGACTGAGCTTGGTTGAAAAATGGAAGAACAAATGAAAGATACCCAAAATATTCAGGGAACCAAGATTATTCTACCTAACAGTGACAGGAAGGAAATCACGACTCAAGGCAATGATTTGGAACAAAAGGAAGAAATAAACAGCCAACCAGAACAGAATGAAGAAACAAGAATTCAAAAAAATTAAGAGAGACTTTTGAACCTCTGTGACAACTTGAAACTTTCCAAAATCCAAATTATAGGGGTGCCAGAAGGAGAACAACAGCAGCAACAAATTGAAAACTTATTTGAACAAATTATGAAGGTAAACTTCCCCAATCTGGTGAAGGAAACAGACTTCCAGGAAGTCCAAGAAGCCCAGAGAGTCCCAAAGAAGTTGGACCCAAAGAGGAACACACCAAGGCACATCATCATTAAGTAACCCAAGATTAAATACAGAGAGAATCCTAAAAGTAGCAAGAGAAAGGGAGAGAGTTACCTACAAAGGAGTTTCCATAAAACTATTAGCTGATTTCTCAAAAGAAACCCTGCAGGCAAAAAGGGGCTGGAAAGAAGTATTTGAAGTCATGAAAGTCAAGGATCTACATCCAAGATTATCCTACCCAGCAAAGCTATCATTTAGAATGAGAGGGCAGGTAAAGAGCTTCCCAGATAAGGTCACATTAAAGGAGTTCATCTATGAAATGTTAAAGGGACTTATCTAAGAAAAAGATAAAAATATGAATAGTAAAATGACAACAAACTCACAACTATGAACAAATGAACCTAAAAAAAAGAAAGAAAGAAAAACAATGAAAACAAAAGCTAAGCAAACAACATGGAACAGGATTTCATGTTGTTTCCATGGATTCCATGGAATCCTGTCCTGTTAGAACAGGAACAGAATCAGAGAAATGGACATCACATAGAGGGTTTTCAGTGGGGAAGGGAGTAATGGAGGGGAAGGGCACATGGAAGAAGATGCATAATTGGCAGGCATTAAATAGACAGAGAGAGGTAAAAAATGGTATAGGAAACAGAAGTCAACTTATATGTACAATCCATGGACATGAACTAAGGGGGAGGGAATGCTGGAGAGTTGGGGGGTACAGGGTAGAGGAGGGCTAAAGGGGGAAAAATTGGGAAAACTGTAATAGCATAATCAATGAAATATACTTAAAAATATATTGAACACAGCTAATTAGTTAGAAACCTACAGCTATGAATATATTTATCAGAAAACAAGAAAGATGACAAATAAGTGTTCAAGAGACTACCAAAGAAAATATTTGGAATCTTTTAAAATGTGTTTTTTTTAACATGGCTATGTAGTTTTACAAAATAACTGATGCTTACCAACATGCCACTAAGCCTGAGACGTGTCTGTGAAGTCAAACAATCTAGAGGAAAAAAATAGCAGGCAGCTTCAGCTTTAAGTCTATACTTTAATTTGCCTTTCCTCAGACTACCACACTGATTTTTAGGTGATGTATTAAGCTCTACTGGTAAATAGCGAAATCTTTATTTACTAGGTAGATATGCAGTCCAAGTCTCATTCTACACACCTCTTATGCATAAAATAATAAAAGAGGTAACTATTTTTTTAAATAAAATATAACCTTGGGTATAAATTATAGTATGAAGTACTGAATTAGAGTAGCATGCTAAAGATGGTCACCTAGTCTAAGGGTATACACTTCCAGTTATAAGATTAACAAGTCCTGGGGATCTAGTATATACAGCATATAGTGATTATAGCTAGTAATAGTGTATTACATGTTTGAGAGTTGCTAAACGAGTAGATAGTAACTGTTATCACTACAAAAAAGAAACGGCAGTTATTTGACAGGATGGAGGTGTTAGCTAATGCTATGCCAGTAATCATTTTGTAAGTGTATCAGATCAAAACGTTGACACCTTCAAGTTATACAATGCTATTCAATGATATCTCAATAAGGATGAAAAAGTAAAGATTGTCATTTAAAAATTATGTCACGGTCTCTTCATCATAACAAAATAATAAAATTACCTCCTCCTTTGGAACAAAAAGTGATCAGCCAGCCGATACCAGCAGCAAAAGCAGTTTGTATGGCATTAACAAAATTCCCTTAAAAGAAAATAAAGCAAATTTCTGATCACTTACTTATTACTCAATAATGATAACAGTTTTCTAAATGATTTTTCCCTTCTAATCTCACCCTCTTCCAATCCACTCTTTAGTATTCAGGATTTCCTAAAAATCCTCTTAAGCATGTCAATTTCATTCACTGGCTCTCCAGTTTTTTCATCATGTACAATCTAAATTCACTATTTCATTAAGAAACTCAAATTGGTAAGAAAGGCCCCTCATGATCTGAGCTTTTCCTTCCATTCAGTGAGCCCTGTTTTTCCCCATGCCACTCCAGGGCATTGCTCATCCTTTTGTTAGATTCATGAAGTACTGTCAATTTCCCAGGGAGATTCATGAAGTACTGTCAATTTCCCAAATATACAGGGAGCCTTTAAGGCTTCCTCTTCATGTTCATGACAGCCTGGGTCTGACTTCACTCCAGTAGTAGTTTCTAACCTTTCCTCTTTTCCCCACCTGAGTCTGCAACATCCTTCAGATTCTCTAGCTTACCTTTAGTATGACAGTTACTATATTAAATTTTAATGGTTTACTAATGTCTTCCTTGCTAAAATAATGAGGTCCCGAAGGCAAAGGTTATATATTTTATTACTGAAGCCTAGTATTTAACATAGTTTCAGAGATATAACTGGTCTTAAGTGAATGACATAAGGATCTCTTTAGATGTGAATACCATCATTTCATGGGTAATACAGAACAGTTAAATAACTCACCTAAAATCACTTGATAAATGAAAAGCCTAATATTAGAAGATTTTTTAAACTTAAAAATTAAACTGGACAGATATTTACTGCCCAATATATTATACTTAAGAAAGTGATAAAACACTTTAGTTTACTAAACATTTAGTTGCATTTTGAAATTTGCCTTTTCATTTCATATCTAGTTCCCATATCTTAATTGTTTTAGTTTCGGTACACATATTATTCATTTGTTAAATGCCTACTACTTAGTAGAGGTGAAATGAAATAACACAATTACCTTTTGAAAAGCATGGAAAAATATTTTAAAATTACAGTATTATGACCAAAATACTAATATTGCCAGTGAAAAACTTAAAACATCAATTTCAAAGTAGACTTGAAAATCAAACAAATTAAGAAAATAAATTACCTGTCCATAATTCTGTCACTGTACTTTTAACATGCTGCATGGCGAAACTCACTAAACTTTCCTTTGATCTGTCACCATGGTATTTCACTGCAGCCTATTTTTTTAAAATAAAAAGAGACACAGTTTTCACTTTTTTTTAAACCCACTAATACCAAATACTTTTGATTCTACATCATTTCAAATAACACTGTAAGATCTGTCTCTCAAATGTATAGTTATTTCCAAATGATATGCTGATATTCTTGATTATATAGATTTATGGAAGACATTTTAATAATACTATACCTAATACTTATCAGTTTCATCACTTAAAACTGGAAGAAAGGGATATCCTAACTTTATATTCAATGAGACAATACTTGTAAAATACTTTGTAAATTACAAAGTAGAATATGCATATCAGTTACATTATATTTTTTTAAAAGAGATTTTATTTGTTTAGTTAGTTATTTAGAGGGAAAGGGAGGAAGAAAGAGAGGGAGAGAAACACTGACTGGTTGCTTCTCACACGTGACCCAGCTATGGGACCAAATCAGCAAACCAGGCACGTCCCCTGACTAGGAATCCAACCAGCGAGGATGACGCCCTGCCCACTGAACCACACCAGTCAGGGCAGTTACATGATATTCTTTAAAACAGAAAATGAAATCGGCAAACATTTAATTTTGAAAGTATAGCTGACCATTGAACAATGTGGGTTTGAACTGCATGGGTCTACTTATATTGGGAATTTTTTTCAATTGGCCTGCTCAATTTAAATGTCCACAGTTCAAACCCCTTTTGTTGAAGGGTCAATAGGAGGTTGGGAGTCTGTGTATGTGCAGTGCCCACTTGAGTTACATGCATTTTTCTCTTTTTTAAAGATTTTATTTATTCATTTTTAGAGACAGTGGAAGGGAGAATCAGAAGGAGAGAAACATCAATCAGTTGCTTGTAGCATGTGCCTCAACTGGAGACCAAACCTGCAACCCAGGCATGTGCCCTGACCAGGAATCAAACCCAGAGACCTTCTGCTTTGAGGAAAGATGACCAACCATCTGAGCCACACCAGTCAAGACTACATGCATGTTTTTGAGGTGCCCCAACCTCCATGTTATGGTGGGTCAACTCAAATGGCATCTAAAGGTATATCAAAAATGTTTTTTTATGACTAGAGCCTAGTAAGATGGCACCTAAAATAAGACTTAAATATCAAAACATTCTACAAATTCACATATTGTGTCTTCTCCAGTCTTTTCCTTGTTATCAAGGTCCACAAATTTAAAAAATGCTAACTTTATCCCTTACCATTCCAGACCTAAAAATGAAGAGGCTAGGATAACTGTTCACTCCTTTCATTCGGCAAAGCCTTCTATCATCGCCACAGTTAACGGCTCCAATTCGAAGTAATCCATCCACTTCTTTAGCGAAGTCTCTCCACTATGAGAGACAGAGGGGAAAAAAAAGAAAACATAAGTATTTTTCTGATAAGACCATTTTTCTTGCCTTGAACACTCTTCAAACTATATATTCTTCAAGGAGACTATACTAGCAAATAAAAACCATAAATATGTGAAAATAAAATTATTTCTTTTATAATTGCTATTAACAGAAATACCTCAATATATTAAAAATCTCAACATATCAATCAGAAATAATAAAACTTTAATAATCAGGATGTAAAAAATACAAACCGTGGGAGCTAAATCATGGCAGTGCGAACATCCCGGGGAGTAAAAGTTCACAAACCACAGTTCCCCTGAGTTAACAGCAGCATCTAAAAGTAAATGAAACCAAGACAACTTAGAACTATTTACTAAAGGTTTGTCGTATTTTGGTTAAAAATTTTTGTTGAGATCAGAAAGATAAAAAGTCATACATCTTTCATACTGCCTTTATAAATTATTTTCTATACATTTTTTTCTATAAGAAAACATTTCAACTATCAAATAATACCTTCTATTCGAAGCTCATACTTGAACTGCTTAATACAGTCACCAGGAAGCTGTAAAAAGAAAGGATGCAATAGCCAAACCTCACAAAGTTTGTGTAGATGAGAGAAATGAAGAGAAACACCAAGAGAGACTAAGATTTAAGCTCTTCTACTATGGGCAACACAGGTTAAACACGTGATCAATTCTGACAACTACTTCATATACTGAAAGAGTGAGATTAGAGACCTACACCATACTAGTAAGGACTCTGGGATTCAATGCAGTCTTTGCTCTTAAGACATTTGCTGTGAAAAACTGGGTTATATGAAAAGTATTAAAGATTTTGAACAATTCAAAGCATAAATACATATTTGGTAAAATAACAGATCTGAAAACCATGTAATGTCTAGCCAATAATACATTATATGTTATAACCATATGTCATGATCTGATGCAAATCAACAAAATTCATTTAAAAACTCTTAACACTGTAAGGATATGCTTCAACATTTAAGATAAAAAGGTGAAGACATATGCTCTTGTTTAAAGTTTGCATATAATTCCACATTAAAATTAGTTTATTTAAAATTCATTTTTAAATAAAATTTTCACAGGTTATAGCAAGCATAGTTAAGACATCAAAACAGGCATACTATTCTAAGTATGTGTAACTGATTCAGGTTAATTTGTAACATATGTAGGACTCAATATTCACCTACATTTCAATTACAAGGCACACAAACCTGTAGGAAAAACAGTTAACCCATACATTACAAAGTATGAAATTTAGGATTTTATCTGCTGTTCATTGGCAATGTTTAGAAAGTCTGGCAAATAGGTAACTCTATGTAGGTGATCGAAATAATTGCCATGCTGACTTAGACTACTACCTGGTACTAATTTAGATAAAATCTTAACAGACAGTGCAAACATTAATAGAAATGGGACATTTCATAAGCTATAAACAAGTAATGAGGTGGTTATTTACACATGAAAAGAGCAGTAATTAAATATGGTATTACTGTTTGTAAATCTTAAAGATACAATGCACAACAAAAATCTGAATGGCACCTAATTTGACACAAAACCTTGTTTACAGTAAATATATGTCCTATCTTGGTACTTTGATTTCATACAGATTTTATACTTATTCATTTTCCACTGTTGTATAATAAGGTTAAAATGTTTTAATATTGTATTATCAAATATCAATGGGATATTTTTGCATAACCCAATGACTAAGAATACAACAAATGTATTTCAAAATGCAATCTTTTGGCTTCTAAAATACAGAACTACACATGTAAGTGAAATCATGGTATTTGTCTTTGACCTATCTCAGCACAGTACCCTTTAAGTCCATCCGTATTGTTGCAAGTTATAAGACTTTTGTTGTTGTTGTTGTTTTATGGCTAATACTCCATTGTATACGAGGGGATACATAAAAGAACACGCAATTTATTTGTTAAAAATTGTGTATTCATTCTTACATGTTTAAACTTCAGTCACCTTCAAAGTACTCTCCATTTGATACAATACACTTATTGAGACGTTTTTTCCCACTGCTCAAAACAGTTTTTCAACTTGGCAATTTTGGTGCCTTTTAGTGCTTCTGCTGTTTTATTGTTTCACCTCTTCCACATGGACAAAACATTTCCCTTCAAGGAATTTCTTCATCCAGGTAAACAAACAAACAAACAAACATGTTGTTTGGGGTGAGATCAAGTGAGTAGGGAGGGTGTGGCATGGAGGTTATGACCTTTTGGGTCGTAAACTACTGAACGCTCAGCAGGGTGTGAGCAGGTGTGCTCGTAAATCACCCATCATGAAATAGCCAAGTGCACTGAAAGAGTTTTCCAAAAGAATTTACTGAAGCTGCAGCCTCTCACACCACCACCAGCTGGAACACTGATACAGATGGTTTCCTACAACACTCACCTACCGGGGAAAGCCTGTACTGCAAGGGGCTGGGTGTCCAGAAAAAATTTTTTTTAGGGGGGAGCCTCCTTCATATATGTGACACAGCTTTATCCATTCATCTTTTGATTGGACATTTAATCCATTTACATTTAAAGTAGTTATGGACAGGTATGTAGTTATTGCCATTTTATTTTTTGAACTGTTTTTGTAGTTCTCTTTTCCTTTATTCTCTTACTTGCTTCCTTGTTTGTTGATGACTTCTGTAGGGTTGTGTTGGATTCCTTTCTTCCCTTCATGTGTATCTCTTTAGATTTTTGGTTTGTGCTTACCATGTGCTTCATATATACCAAGCTATATTTGTAAGTCTGTTTTAAGTTGGTGGTTGCTTAAGTTTAAACACATTCTATAATTATTACCATTTTTTACTCACCCCCTCCACATTTATGCTTTTATTATTTTTTACTCTTTTTGTGGCATGTTTGTGTGTATCCCTTACTTTACTGTTGTAATTACACACGATTTTCTTACTTTTGCCTTTTAGCCTTCTGTACTAGCTTTACTGTTGGTTGATCCACTGCTTTTATTATGTGTTTGCCTTTGTGAGAATTTTTTCCTTTGAGATATGTTCTTTTTCATAGGTTTTTGTTTCTTCTTAAAGAAGTCCCTTTATAATTTCTACTAAAACTTGTTTGTTAGTGATTGACTCATTTATCTGTGTCTTGTCTGGGAAGCTTTTTCCTCTCCTTCAATCGTAAATGATAGCACTGCTGAATACAGTAATCTTGGTTGTAGATCCTTGCTTTTCATCACTGAGTATTTTGTGCCAATCCCTTCTGAACTGCAAAGTTTCTGTTGAGAAATTAGCAGACAGTCTTATGGGAGCTCCCTTGTGGGTCACTAACTGCTATTCTCTTGATGCTTTTAAGATTCTGTCTTTAACCACTAACATTTTAATGTCTTCGTATGGGACTTTTACAGATTCATCTTGTTTCGGGCTCTGTGCTCCCTGGATTTTTATGTCTATTTCCTTTGGCAGGTTAGGGATGTTTCTAGTCATCATTTCTTCAAATAAGTTTTCAATCCTTCTTTCTTGCTCTTCTTCTGATACTCCTATGATGAGAATGTTATGCTTGATGTTGTCCCAGAGGACTCATAAATTATCCTTTTTTATTTTTTTACTGTTCTGATCAGGTGTTTTCTGCTATCTTGTTTTCCAAATTGCTGATTCAATTCTCAACTTCACGTAATCTATTCTAGACTCTAATGTATTCTTCATTTCTGACCAATTCCTTATCTTCTACCTCCTTTTATGTTTCTTCATTGATGTTCTTACTGACATCACCTATTCTTCCTGTAAGTTCATTAAGCATCTTTATAATCAGTATATATAATCTGGGAGATTACATGACTATTTTGTTCAGTTCTTTTTCTGGAGTTTTGTCCTCTTCTTTCATTTGGGACCTGTTTATCTCCTCATTTTGGCTGTCTTCCTGTGTTTGTTTCTATTTATTAGGTAGGTCTGCTAGGTCTCACAGTCTTGGCAGAAGGGCCTTATGTAGCAGGAGTCCTGTGGGGTGCAGTGGTATAGTCTCCCTGTTCACCTGTGCCAGGTGCTCCAAGGGTGTTGCTGGCTTGTGTGTGCTCTCCTCTTATAGTTGAACCTTGATTACTGTTGGCATGCCACTTGGTGGAATTGATCCCAGCTGAATGGCTGGAAGTACTGGCCGTGACTATAGCAGGCAAGCTGTTGTGCAGGGGCTGACCCCACTGAGTGGGATTTGCTTTAGTAGGACTCTGGTGCCTGCTGAGTTCACCCTTTGAGTGCATCTTTTATGGTACTAATTGTGTGATGTTCTGGTATGGTCTGAGGCTGGCCACCAGATGTGTTGGTTGGTGGGGGGGAGGGCTGTGGTGGGGCTCCAATCAGGCCAAGGTCAGCTACTGCCTTGGGACCACCTGGTAGGAGCTACAAAGTGATTTGCAGTTAGTAACTGCCTGTGTTGAGCTTGGAGGTGCCCGGGAGTAATTATGCTGTGAACCAAGGCTGGCTGACACTAATCCTGGGCTTGGATCCACTTAGCAACATGTGCATGGCATGCTGAGGCCAGTCACTGCATGTTTGGAGTCTGTGGATCTCTGATAGATTTTAGGGAAGTCAGCAGTGAGGGCCTGGTCTGCAGCTTGTATGGCTTAGTCTCCAAAAGAAGTTCGGTCTGGCATGTGAATTGAGTAGGGCAGGATTTCAGAGGACCATGAGGGTAGGGCAGTGGTGTTAGCCATGTTAAGGAAGACTTAGATTTAGTGCTTGCCTGTGCCTGCAGGCTATGTGGGGGGAGGGCTTAAAAACAGAGCAATGGCACCCACCAGTATTTTAGTTTAGGAGAGAACTAACCATCCAACCCTTTCCCTGAGGCCTGACACTTCAGTTCCTTCCAGTACATGCCTTCCCTAGAGCTTATGTTGAGTGTTTATGAGGGAGGGAGTCTGTGCTTGGGCTCATTTAAGAGTATGCCTGGGTCTAAAGCAGCCCTCTGCCTGACCAGGTAAAATCCCTGCTGATTTTGAGAGCCAGCTGTTGTAGGGACTCTTCTTGGCACTGGAACCCCAGGTTGGGGAGCCCAGTGTGAGGCTAGAACCCACTGCTCCTCAGTGGGGATCTCTGCAGCCACAATATCCCTCCCAATTCTTAATCACCACACACAAGTGTAGTACTAGCCTGTTTCATGTCTCCATCCCTGCTACCAATCTCAATGTGGCTTCTTTATAGCCTTAGTTATAAGGCTAGCCTTCAGGTGGTTCTCAAGGGTGCTTGTTCTATAATTTAATTGTAACTTTGAGATGGTTGTGGGAGGAGGCAGAGACAGCCTTTACTTACTCTGCCATCTTGAAATGAAGTCTGATGAGAATATTTTTAAGGCTTTCAGAGAGGAGTTTACTAATCAGTTTCTCTTCTATACTACTGATACACATTATCTAGATAGAGTTCCACTCCTGATAAAAAACTATGTAATTAGAACTAACTGCCTGCCTACAACTACAGAACTGAACAAAAAATAAAAGATTTCTGTTGAAAGCAAGAACATTACCAATGTAGTGAAGAATAAGGGGCCAGGGTATGGGAGGAGGCAGAAATCAGAGGACCAACATCTGCCACCTCTAGATGAGGGGGTTGATGTGTAAGAAACTGAACAGAGCTTTCAATAGATTTATGAGGATAGAGGGACAAAAATGGAGTTCAGGCTCATGTAACGAAGGGTCTTATAAATAAAGATGAACTGGAAAATGACTATTCCTCTTAAAACCCAAAGCTCAGCTTCTAAATCATTTTACTCTGTTTGGTAAAGCTGACCTGAGACTGTTAGTGACCCTAGCCAGAAGAAAGCGTAACTCCTCTCCGGAGGAAGAAAACACATTTAACTTTAAAATAACTTCATATAACATATATAACTTCAAAGTAATCTAATTTATATAATTAGACAAAAGATAACAAAAGATAACATTAAGCAACCTAGACCAATAGAAACAACTAGTAATAAAAAGAGACCCTCAACCAAGGAGACTAATGTGATATTTATATAAATACAAATTAATAATACTATCATCCGTGTTATTTTCCCTCGACTTCTTCAACTAAAATTTCAGCCTCAGGTTGTCTAAGTATAGTTAACATGAAGAGTAGTATTAAGAGGTACCAGATGGAATGATGGCAACTTTGTTCTTACCTAACTTTTATCTTCTATGCATATATGTGTATAACATTTGCATGGTTTGCATTATACTACATATACAATTTTGTTTTAGGCTTCATTCACTTAATATACTCTAAAGTCTTGTGAAAGTCTTTTAATAATTTGGAAAACGCTTATATAGAACAAAGAAGGATACCAGTTCACCGTAATTTCAAATTTGTCAATCTTACACAACCCACACACATAGAACACTGAGGATGTTGCTTACTTAGCCCTTCCAAGACTTCATTTCCTCACCTGTAAAAGGTGAGGAATAACTGTAATAATAGCTACTGCATAGGGAAGTCATTAAACTTCACTAAGACAATGGAAGAAAGTTGATAATGATAGTAAAATAAAAACAATGTGAAAATCTTAATTATGGTTATAGAACACTTTTTAATATATATATCAGATAACCCTACAGAAATAAAAAAAATCTAAATTCTAAATACAACTGTCCTCAAGAATTTTAGATAAGTTTTGGTCTAGACTAGTTTTAGAAAATTGTATGCCCATAAACTTACCAAATTCTCTTCTATCCAATGTTATGATTTCAGGATCATCATCATAAATACCTAATTTTTAAAAGTATATAAAAATTATAAAATTAAAACTTCATTATTAAAGTAAATTTCCACATAAAAATAGGTTATTTACTCTTGTTTTAATCATCGAAAATCAGATTACTATACTAAATCTCAGAGCTGAAAAATATGCAACAACTAAGAGAAAAGCCAAGAGTACAGAGAACTATGATTGATACACTTAAAGAGTGATCCAGATATTAGTTTTTGGTATGGACTGTCATGGGTGTGTTTATGGGATTCCTAAATTCATGAAATTTCATCTCCACAGAACGTCTCTATTATGGTTTTTTAAACTTTTATTTTTGAAACAATTATACACTCACAGGAAGTTGTAAGAACAGTACAGGCTGTCTGTACCCTTTATCCAGTTTCCTCTAATGATGACATGATATACAGTTTTAGTACAATATCGAAACCAGGAAATTGGCACAGGTACATTACTCTGAACTAAACTACAGACTTTTCAATTATGTTTTTGTAAGTGGTATCACTTAAAATTATATTCTATAACTGTCTTGTAATTAAAATATTTACAGTCAGAGATAAACTTATTAAGTAAATATAAATTTTATTTACTGTAACAATCAAAACCAATGTGACATTTTGCATTACTATTATAAAATATCCAAGTAATAGTGATAGATATAGATCAAGGGTAAGCAAACTTCTTCCCTAGAGGCCAGTTAGTAATTATTTCAAGCTTTGTGGGACATAGGGTTTTTGTCACAACTACTCAACCCTGCCCCTGAAGTGTGAAAGAAGCCACAGAGCAGGGGTGTCAAACTCATTTTCACTGGGGGCCACATCAGCCTCATGGTTGCCTTCAAAGAGCCGAATATATAAATGTAACCACTCCTTAACAGTTAAGTGAGAGCTCAGCACTTCCACTGGGTAGAAACAAGGTGGAAGGCCGGATTCAGCCTGAGGGCCTTGTGTTTGCCACCTGTGCCATAAGACAATATGTAAGTAAATGAACATAACTGTACGGGCATACTTCAGAAACACTGGGGGTTTGATTCTAGACCATTGCAATAAAGCCAGTATCATAATAAAATGAGCTGTAATCCTTTTGATAGTGGACGGTCTTGCCTCCAATTTGTAAATCCAAATAAAATATAAAACTTTACAAACACAGGTGGCAGGCTAGATTTAGACTGCAATGATAACTGCTGACACCTCATACAGATTATCATGCTGTAGTGAACATACCTAAAAATAATACTTTGAAAACAAAGTTAGTCTTGAGAAACAAATACAATAGCTATAAATTGAAAATATTTTATTTAGTCTACTATAAAAGCATACTTCAGTTCTTTATCTGCATTTGAGGTTAATTAATCATTTAAGAGAGAGCTATTGGGTACCTAAATGGTCTCTCTTGCCTTGATACCTGTATGTACTTTCTCGGTCCTTTGATTTCTTAACTTGTTTACTCTCTCTGCTCTTGCCTCATTTCTTATTGTTGGTCAACACTGCACCATTATTAACGATGGCATTTCTACTGAAGTGACAATAAACTTAAACTTTAGCCTTTCTTGGAAAATATGACACCCTAAAAATCTTAATATTTAACTTCTAATGCAAATATTTTTCAATTAAATTGAAATCCTAATTTTAAAAACATTTAACAAGATTATGGCTTAAACACCTTCAGATCTGTGCATATCACAGCTACCACACGGCTTTTCTTTTAAATTCTACTTCCGGGTTACATTAAAGAGTTAAGGCAACATACATTAACTACATAACCGAGGAACAGAATTAATTTTCTAAATTTACTCAAATAAAAACCAAGAACTTCATAAGAAATATTGTATCATCTTACCAAAATCGTAACGATAATAATTCCAGCTTTCATACTGGCCTCCTTCTTGATTATCTGCCAATCCCTTTTCTCCATATTTGTCATACTTTTTCCTCAGATCTTCGTCTTTGAGTACTTCGTATGCTCTATTTATTTTTAAAAAATCACTATGTGCATTTGGGTTATTCTATTAAAAAATATTAGATATAACAGTTGTTTCAGAAACAAAATCAAGTATCTGTAGAACCTGTATCTAGATTTAATTTAATCCTGAAATTTCTGGGAGAATAGATACCAAGGTAAGGAGTAGTAATACAAGATGAAGTGGATTATCATGGATTGAAATTTAAAAAGGATTTTTAAATATCTACAGTCCAAAACATAAGAAAAGTGAAAGAGAAATGAGAACTGATATCTCAAAAGGATAGATGTGGTTATACAATGTAAGTCATTCCTTTTAAGAAAAGCAACTGAGAAAAAACTAACAAACCCTTGGTAATGCTTAGTATTGTTATGCATTATGTGCTACCCCTAAAACAATTACAAAGAGGTTATTTTTCTATTTGAGGTTAAACTAATATATTATCTAAAAAAAGTAAGTGCCACACCCTGGCCAGTGTGCCCAGTTGGTTGGAGCATCGTCTTGTAAACCAAAAGGCTGCGGGCTTGATTCCTGATCAGGGTACATGCTGAGGTTGCTGGTTCAGTCCCTGGTTGGGGCATGTGCAAGAGGCAACTGATTGATGTTTTCCTCTCTCCCTCTACCTCCTTTTCCCCCCTATCTAAAGTCAATTAGCATGTGTTCAGCTGTGGATTAAAAAAAAAGTATGTACCCCAATCCATCAGATGATAAAAACTAGTATCAGAGCAACAACTGAAATGGATTGGAAATATTCCTTATTTATTACTGTAACAAAGAATTGGTTTTTAAAACAATGCTTTCATCTAAATAATAGTTATAGAAGATGTACACCTTTCATATGGAAACTTAAAATTATAACCATATCTCTCTCCTTGACAAGTATTAAATCTCAATAAAAAATTAAGTAGATGATTTATAAAAATACCTTAAGATTTAAAACTATTTCTGAAAGATTACATTATTTGATACACAACAAAATGTTATGATTGAAATTAACTTGATTTGACCATTTCTCAAGCTTTATTTATAATACTTCCTGACTCTGGTCTTAGATTTGTGCATGGGAGAAAATAGAAAAAAAGTTGAAGCATGCTATTATTAGCATGCTATTACTGCCATTTTTAGTAAGACATACTCTCTAAGTTCTAAGGAAATATATATGTATATTTTACCACTCTAAAATACTTGATTTTAACCTACTTTACTAAGAAAACTACTTCACAGATATTGTCTGCTTTGGGGTTGACATCTGTAATAGAACTGTTGGAAATTTCATTTTCAAATTAAGTGGGAATTGTATTTTTGGTACTGACATTCCTTTATACTGTTTTAAACAAGAACTTTGCTGTTTTAGTACTTAAGTTGAATTTTGATTTTTGACATGTGATTGTTCTTAAGCACTTTGAGCACTTATTTCAAATAATTTGGGTAAATATCAAAAGTTACTAAAATACATTAATTAGGTATGTTTAAAAAGAAATTTTTACCTACCGGGTTTTTATCAGGATGAAGCTTCAATGCCAACTTCTTGAAAGCTTGTCGTATTTGTCTACTGCTTGCAGTTTTGGATACGCCAAGTAAACTGTAAAAATCCTGATCTGAGACCACCAAAATGGCCATACACACTATTAAAAAACAGAGAATGACCTTTCTCAAGTCTCTCACACAGTCATCTTTATTTAACCAGACTCCCATTTCTTTCCTTATACAAGTTCTGATTTAAGTGAACATTAAGAAACACTGCTGGTTCCAGGTGATGAATCTGCAAGATTGAGAAGTTCTGTCCAATTACTCCAAGGGTGACCCAAACATAATATCGTCTCTCAACTGAATCTAAAGAGAAGAAACCAAGTAGTTAAAAATACATTAAAAAACCTGAAAACCCAACAATAAAACTATTTATTAAATAACATGGTTAGCAGTATAATCTCCATTAAATACCAAATCTGGGTGAGCACCCAAGCCCTATTCTCTAGGGGCCCCTTTCGCTGCTTCCATATCTAGGTATCCAGATTTATGAAATCACTCAAGATAGGAAAAGACAGCTAAAACTATTAAAAAACAAGCTCAGCAATTTATTCTGATCAGCACCAGAACATAACAGCGAGGAAGGGGGGAGCGCTGTGGGGAGAATGGACTGTTTCCTTCCTTTTTCTTATCCAGCTAAAGCATTGCCCTTTTATAACACCGCTTCCTTCTGCACTACTTCTTCAACCCCTTGACACTATTCACTTTTCATTTTAATCAGATTTCACTTAGAGGAAATATCCTTTGATGGGGAGGGGGCGGGGGGTACTAGAAGGAAGCACAGACCTTCCAAAAGGTCTGTATTTTCACATAACCTTGCAAACAGTGATGTGAATTTTTATTGTTATAATAGATAACTTACATAGAAGGCCCTTTCCTCCAGTATTTTTTTCAGAAGGTGCTTACATTAGACACTATTTTATAAAAATGGAAGAATAACTGCAAACTAACAATGTAACTTTACTGCACATTTATGTTTGTTGGAAATACATACATAAAAAGAAAAAAGGAAAAGGCAATCAGTTACTTTGACATGCTCACCTGGGTAGTGGAAAACTAAGATCAGACAGCATTTAAACATGTATACTTTACTTCCAAGGACCTCAAAATACTTGGGAAAAAACTAACCTTCCTAGCAACCTCAGGTTCTTTCTTTATTTAAACCTGAACTTCCATTTATTTCATTTTTGTCCTTACCTGTTAATGGTCTTTGGCTCATTTCTAATCCCTCCTTTTCATGCTACTAAAAATACCTTTGTAAAATATAGTGATGGATATTAGCGAATATCCAGACCAGAAAACGAAAAGGAAAAAACAGAGAACATATCCCCAAACACCACTTTGGGTCCAGTGGTGCTCCCTGCCTAGCAGTTGTTCTCAGCGTGGGTGTGAACGACTTGCTCTCTGCTGAGCTGTGGGATCAGGTCGAAGCTTCAGGTAAATGCAATATGAACACCTCTTGCAGCCATCACTCTAAAACGGGATGCGGGGAGAGGGAAAAGATAGAGATATGGGGCTACAGAGATGGTCAAGTGTTCCTGGTGTGTGAAGTCTTAGAACAGAGAGCTGAGAAAGGAGACCTAATAACTGAAGCTATCGTGAGAAAATGAATCAAGAGGCGAGGAACCACCAGTGTGAAGAAGGGTAATACGGGGGAAGACAGGGAGCGAGAACACAGTAAACACGACGCCAAGCGAAGAGGGTTCAAATTCAAGCACACTGCAGCTCCGCCCTCCCTTCAAAGAGGGCCCGGGAAGCCACCGGCTCCTGCAGGGTCCCGGCCCATGCCCACCTCGGTGTTGCGGAGTCGCCACCAGCAGCTACTCCCCCATCCTCAATCTCCCGCAGCTGACCCTACCCGGCCAGGCGCAGCTGTGCATGCGGGAGGGAAGCACGCTCTCTCGGAAAGCCGGGCGGCCGCAAGCCAGGCAGCGGCGCTCCGGATGCGGGAGGTTAAGCGGTACCGGCAGTAGCAAGAGCCGCCAGCTCCAGTCGGCTTCCTGCACCGCCTCGAGGGCGAGCCGGGGCGGGGCCTGGCGCAGGGCACTGTGGGAAAGGCGTGGACCGCTGGGCCTCGGAGGACCGGTTGCGGGGCTTGTGTGCGAGGAGGTGGGGTGGGGAGGGCGGTGTAGGTTAAGGTTGACGTGGCGGTTGGCGCGGAATCCGGGTCCGGTTTCAACCCGGAGCTAAGTGACACACTATAACCGCAAAGTCTGCGCCCCAGCACTTTGGGGACTGGCGCTAGCCGTGCGCCAGACACGGAACATAGAAGCCTGCCTCTTCCTGTTCCCGTTGCTGTGGTGACGGGAGCCCCTCCCGGGGGGGTGGGTGGGTTTCGGCTGAGATTTTCCTGTGATCCTGTTCTTAAAGGGGAGGCGAGCTACAGAGGATTTTTTTTGGTTGGTTGGTCTGTGGGTGGGTGGGGCAGAAAGGGGAAATTTTGCGAAAAAAGGAAAACTCGACTGAAGTGAAGTTGTTTTCAGTGTCAGAGTATAGGGTTCTTTTGTAGAATGATATTTAGATAGCATGTTCTAGGTGTTAGGCATGCTCTATGCTTTTGGCATGCTGTTACTTCCATGCCTTCTCAGTAGCTTGAGGTAGGGCATATGTGTACACACATAGGTTCATATTACATATATATGAAACTATGAGTTTACACTAAAACTTCTAATTCCAATATAATGCTACACAGGAGTCATTCCATTCATTCTAGTTTTCTCCTTTCCATATGTGTAGCTCCTTTCCCTGACAATGAGAAACCTGGTTCCCATAATCCTTGTTATGTATATACTTAACTTTCAATCCCCTCATATGTAACCAATCTCCCATTCTAGCCCCTCTCCTGTGCAGTTGCTCTCTTCATCCTGCTTGGGTTCCCACACTTGACACTCGGATGCTCTCTTGCAGGTGCTCAGCTACTTTGCAAAAGTTCCAACCTGTGCCAGGCTGCCCCCTCACAGGGCCACCCTGAAAAGGGCTCTAATATGCACTCACCCACACCCCCATCCCTCTGCCTCTGCCTAGTGTGGATGAACTCCTCACCTTGGTTGGACTCTGACACTGCCCGCACCAACTAATTAATGGCTTTTGGTCTGCATTATTCAGGGTAGGGGAGGGCCATGATTATTTTTTAATAATCATTGAAACCATAGTTTGAAGAATGTATTGTAGGAGGGCAGTAGCAAATATAGGAAAACTGGCTACGAGTCTATTGTAATGGGCCAGGTGATAGATAATGGTGGCTGGGCCCAGGATGGAGTGAATTCATATATAGATAAATAGACAGATTCAGGAAAAAAGTAGGTAACATGTATAGGATTTGGTGATGAATTGGTCATGTGAGGAAGAGAAAGATATTTGAAGGTCCATCTCTCCTTCAGATAATCTCTCCTTGCTAACCTCAATATAATAAATCAAAACTTGCTACAACCACTCCATCATATATACATAGATATGTTACAACAGATGGACCATTTTGTTTCACTTTTAGTTCCATCTGTGGAATTGCTACTCATCTTTCAAGACCTAGTTCATGTTTCTTCTGAAAAATAATTTTCTGTGAGCCATTCAAGCATGTGGATCCCTCCATCTTTCATTATTGCATTTATCACACCATATTATAATTATATTTCATTGGCTGGCTTACTATAACAAATTCTTTGAGATCAGGAATTGAATTCTTCTTTCTGTTTGCTTTGTAATGCCCTAAATATTGGATACATCAAAGGAACAATTGTACAATGAGATCTTTTTTTCTGTGATGACATTTTGGGACATTTAGGGACATTTAAAACACATTCCTTTGGAGACTTCTGATCAAGAAATGGCAGTGTAGGTAAACGTGGAACTAGCCTCCTTTCACAACCACATCAAAGTTATAACTAAACAGAACAACCATCATTGAGAACCACCTAAAACTTAGCTGAATAGAAGTTCTACAACTAGGGACTTAAAGGAGAAGCCACATTGAGACTGGTAAGGGGGCAGAGACACAGACCAGGCTGTTTTATCCACATGTAGCTGATAAAAGTTGGGAGGGATTTATCAGCTGCAGACATCCCCTCTTAGGGGTGAGGATTCCAAGCCCCACACCAGGCCCCCCAGCCAGGGTTCCAGTGCTGGGAGGAGAAGTCCCCCATAAATTCTCATGGTAAAACCAGAAGAATTGAGGCTGAGGGAGATGGAGATGTTCTGGAGTCTCAGGCAGTTCCTCTTAAATTTTTTTTAAATGTATTCATTTGAGAGAGAGACACACACAGAGAGAGAAATTAATTTGTTGTTTCACTTATTTATGTATTCATCGGTTGATTCTTGTATGTGCCCTGACTGGGAAATCAAACTCACAATCTTGGTATATCAGGACCACACTATACAAACTGAGCTACCTGGCCAGGGCCCCAGGTAGTTCCTCTTAAAGAGCTAGCACAGACTTACTCGGACTCCTTCTGAGCTCCAGCACTGGGGCAGCAGCTTGAAAAACATCAGAAACATATAGGGAGGAACTGAACAGTCCGGCTTCAGGGAGACAGCTGGGGTGGGAGGAAGTTTTCTCCTAGACAGAAGTACTGGAAGAGGCCATTGTTTCTTTGAAGAACCCTCACCACCAGGAGTCAAATGTTACTTACTTTTTTCCTCAATGCCTAGTTAGAACATACTTGCCATCTATTCGATACATGATGAAATGAAGAATCAATATTTATTATGTGCAGAGAGAAAAGAATAGCCTTTTGTTCCTAAAGTCCTTATTGTCTGGCCTTGGGGAGAGGCATGAAAAACACATACACTCACATGTAGTAATATCCTGTTGAATGAGTGATTTAAACAATGTTGCATAGAGACTCAATGTTGGGCTTAAGTGCTCAAAGAAGAATCAGAAGACATCTGATTCTGGGTGTTTCTAAATTAAAAAAAAAAAAAGAATTCCTTAACAGACTTGGAATTATTATAGAACCAGGTAGGAACTTTGAAGTCTTTTGAATTTGTAGAGGATACAACCAAGGCCCAGGAAGGTTAATGAGTGTGACTTGCCTAAAGATACTCAAATGTAAATGGTTGAAGTGGAATATACTCTGTTTTCTTAGCCATTGGGAAATGATAATCATAATAACTAAAATTTACATATGCTTTATATTCTCAGGCACTGCATCAAGCACATTACTCACATTAACATATTCAGTTGTCATAACAACTCTGTGAAGTACATTTATTGTGTCAGTTTCACAGATGAGGGAACTGAGAGTGAGAGCGTGAGCTCCGAGCCCAGTGCTGCACAGTTAGTAATGGTGAAATTCGGATTCCTGACTGGGCAGTCTGGATAATCCATAAGGAACACCACAATCAGTTCATCAAAATATTTTTGACAGCGTTTATTTAAGCTAAGATAGATGCTATTTTCACAGTGTTTTATAATAACATAATAACCTATCACAAAGAGCTAGATTTGGGAGGGGACACATTGTAATATTTTTTGGACCAAACCTCATTTGTAAAGACAAATTGGATGATATCTTAAAATCATCTACAAAACTAACCGGTGGAACTGACATTCAACATATGTGGTAAGTTCAGTTGAATTTGCAGTTTTTTGTAAGTAATTTTGTATTTTTATCTCCAATAGGCAGGTCAACCTCTAGCTGTAACTGACCTTTCTTTTGTGCTTATTTCCTTACATTCAATTATTTTGACAGTATATGTTGTTTAAAATGTTATGTGGTAATTAAACACAAACTAACAAAAGTCAAAATCAAGCAGACATGGCAATGCATGCACACAAATACATGTGTATGTACATGTAAATATGTATATATATTTTGTGTACATTGTCTTGTCACTGATTCCTAAATAAATATTTGCTAAGATGAATTGATAGCAAACAAAAAGCAAATATGAGTGGGCAGTCCTAGTGAAATATTTTTTCTTTCCATTTTACCTGGTGAACAGCAGAAGACCAGATCAGATTATCAATTGATAAAATGTGCCTGCAAGTGTACCCACATCCCACATTTTTACAGGTGACAGAGAGATTTATTCCTTGAAAAACAAATTTACATCATTGTTGCAGAACCACAAGTGCCCTCAGCGGACCAGAAATTTTGAAGCAACCCTGAAATGTGGAGGATGAAGTGTTGAACTGAGAAAAGAAATCACTGAGCAGCACACAAGGAAGGATGCTGCAAAATGTGAGAACGTGAGAGCCGTGAGAACGGCTCTGGATGTTTGAAACGAAAGAACAGAATGACACAGGAATGAGGCTGTTGGAGCTGTTTGTTGGTTGGTAGAGGCACTGCATTTAGGGTAACTATACAGGCTGACCCCTGTGTCTGGTGTTCCCAAAATCATCCCCAGATTTGATGATTCACTAGAATGACCCATCAGGCTGAGAATATAATTGGGCTGATGGCTAAGATTTATTACAGGGAGAAAATAGGAAGCAAAGTCAGCAAAGGGAAAAGGTGCATGGACAGAGTCTGGAGGAAATCAGGAGAGAGCTTCTAAGCATCTAATCCCAGTGCAGTCACAGAGGAAACACAACTCATTGTTGGAATTGTAATAACATGTGCAAAGGGTTGTGTACAAGGGAAGCTATTAGGGACCAAGTTGCTAAGGATTTTACTGGAAGCTGGGACATTAGGTATCCTCTGCTTGGCAGGCACCAAAATTCTAGACTCCTAGAAGAAAAGTAGATATTTATCACAAATAACGTTGTTTTTGAGCTCAGGCATAGTGGGTCATTCTCATCATTTAAGAACTTACTGTTTTTGACAGAGCCAATAGATCCAATAAATAGAAGATCTATGCATTATGAAAAAACTTTAAATTTGCATGTGGAAAATATGCAAAGGAATAAATTGGGTAAAAGTTTATAATAAAGTTGTCTGAGACATTCCTTGCAGGCTGTCCTCTCTCAGAAGGGAGTAAGACTTTTGCTGAGCTCCATGGAAATCAGCTACAGCTGAGTGCTTAAGGATCTCAATGGTGGAAGAATTCTTCGGTGATAGACTAAGCCACTGATC